AGATATCTGGGTTGTGGCTCTTACGAGCATATGAGAGCATTTGTGAAGCTTAAGAGGATTTGGGACTCATATTCTCTCATGGGATGCTTATACTTTTTAAATCTGGCTTTTTCTTTCGATTTCCAAAACTTTGACTTTGGCGCAAAAAATAACAAAGTGAAAATTTTTTACTTTACTGTAGATATAAAAGAACAGTCAGAAATTTTTAATTTCCTATCACTAATTTTTTTCAATTTCTTTCAATTTAATTTCAAAATCCTTATCATCATCTTCTTCAATCATTTTAATAAACTCTTCTTCTTCAATCTCAATTTTATGTGTTAATTTACATAATTTAATATCTTCCAAATAATTAATTTCAATATTTATATATCTTTTTCTTTGATTTTTTTGTATTTTTATTTTTTTTATTTCGTTTGGCATATTCTTTTCAATATAGAATTTATTCGAATTACAATCAAGAAAATAATTTTCGAGTATTGTAGCTCCATATCTTCCTTTTGGCTTATAGTATTTTGTAATTCTTTTTAATCCTACTCCAGTCAAAAGTAATGGCTTTTCATTCAAATAAACATAAAATATCTTGTCTGAAAATAGTTATTAAAGTGGACCTCAATTATAGTTCACCCTTGGGGCTCAAAGAATTGTAAATCTTTATGAGTGTATGTTTGTATGTAAAGTAAATGTAGCAAAACAGAGGATGTGCTCTGGAAGTTTGGGATTTGATGGTTGAAAGGATCTGGGAAGGAACCTTGGAAGGAAGCTGGGAAGGAATCTTTTTTGGAGTAAAAATCTGACATAATTTTATATACCATATTAGTTTATACATTTTAGTTACAAAATAATAGAAATAACCTGAATTTTTCGTTGGGTTTTTGCTTTTAATTTTATTAAGATCTGTTTTAATCGTTTTGAATTTTATGCCATTTACTTTGTACTCAGTTCTCTTGTTCTTTTATTTAAAATTAAATATTAATTACAATTAATATTTGTTAAATCAGGGGGTATTGTGTAATATAAACCTTTATACCGTTCAATAATGTGAGTTCATATTTATATAAATCTTTAGACACCCTTGAAGCAATTTTATATAAAATTGAGGTTTCCATAATTAGGGGTATAGATTAGGTAGCTCCTCCCACAAATCAAAAAAAACTATAAATTATGTTCGGTCAGAAATCGGGACTATCGGAATTCCGACTAAATATCAGCGTGTGCCGTATCAATTTTGTGATATATTTACTCTTGAAAACACATTTAGTTGATTTTTTGGCCCGTTCAAATATTGAGCAATACTGGGTATTTAACGTTTTGTAACTACGGCACAGATTCTACACAAATTTGGTTTACAGATCCGAAGCTTTAGATCAGTGATTCCTTTTATTAGCGCCGTAGTCGAAAGTTTTTAGCATTTTGGAAAAAATCTCTAATCGAAACAATGCATCGAAAATCATCGGAAACCGGCAATTTAAATTTCGGAAGTCGGAAATAGATTTTTAAATTTTATCGTCTATCGCAACTTTTCCTATATACACGGATCTATGTACATAAATGAAGTCGTAGTATGTACTTACATTGATAATTCTCTGAAAATTTTTGAATTAAATAATTTTTAAAAAAAACTTACACGGATCTGCTTTTCTTCAAAATCAAATTCATTAGCTAATTCAGTAATATCGTCATCAGTATATGGCAGACCATAACCAAATTTTTCTAATTTTATTTCCTGTAATTTTCTTTTAATTTGAAAATAGATATTTAATAAAAACGAACATATTTTCTCAATTCAATTAAGTTTCCTCCTGTTAATTATTTTATTTTAAAAAATTTTAAAAACGATAATTCTATTAATTACCATACAGTGCTGGACAAAATTTTTCTTATCAATAAAAATTTTTTTATTGTTGGAAAGAAATTTTTTCTATGATTTAAAAAATTTTTCTTAATATTTTCAAATGAAAATTTTAAAAATGTGAATTTTTTACAATTTTTATTATCGCAATAAAATTTTTGAACGGAAAATAGAAAATATTAAGCAATTTTGCTTTTTTGCCCCATATGTTGACCTTTTTTACAACCAAGTTTTCATTTTTGTCACCTATTTTGGCTTTTTTGTCACATATTAGGTACCTATTTTTAAATTTTTACAACCTAAAAACCCGATCCCTAATCATTATATTTATATGATTGATGGAATTTTTATAGATTTTTCTTAATGTTAGAAGTCCGAAAACACAGTGTGCGACTATATCTTGGTTCGCACTATATTAGGTATTATTATGAAAAATATTTCAACATCAAATAATTTATTAATTTTTGGATTGTAATTTGAGATGTTTGGACAATAGGGACCCCAAACCAAGAGGAATGATCCAGAGATATAACTGTATCAGTCCTCTTGGTCGGACTCTATTTCAAACACCTCTTATCAGCATACATAAATATTTATTTTTTAGAATTAAATCAACCTTCAATTTTAATTTTTTCCTTTAAATTATCAATTTGTTTTTTAATTTTTATTTTCTCATCTTCATTATCCAATATTTTAATATATTTTCCCAATATTTCAATTTTATATGCAATTAAATTAATTAAATCCCAATAATTATTTTGTAATTTTTCTTTGTAATATTTTATTTTTTCTTTTACTGATTTTTTTGTTAATTTAGAATTTTGAATATATTTTTCTAAAATAGAGACTTGACTTTTATCTCTTAGTACCCTTCTTTTAGTCATCTTAAAGTATAATTTTTTATTTTTTTAATTCTTAATGATTTTTATTTTTTAATTATGTAATTTCTACGTAACAAGTTATCGGGGAATTTGAGGAGATATTGAGGAGATTACGAGGAGAATTGAGAGATTTTGAGAGATATCGTAGGTCCCCTGATATCCTCCTTAACTCCACGAATTAAGGGGATTTGAAGTGACATAGCTATTAGAGGGGGAAGAGAATTTTAAGAATATTTGTGAATTAGAGGATATCTAAAAATCACAACTCTATATATTATTATTTCCAATCCAGGACAGCTTGGAAGAAAAAAAGCCGGACACTGGGCCCGTCAATCCGAGAAACAAAAAATACAAACAGCATTACTTGGACAAAAAGACCCCACCAAGTGAAAAATGCAATTTTTCTCTTTGGGCAGTCTAAGCTTTGGAAGGACGAATTTTGGTAAGACTAAGTTCTGTCTGGTCGAAGTATTTGTGCTTCGAAGGTATTTGTGTTTCGACTTGTGCTTTACTGGGTATTTAACATTTGTAGCTCCAATCAAAATACTTTATATAAAACTAAAAAAAAATATTTAAGCACCTGTTTTGGTAAATAAATAATTATCTCATCAACAATGTTATTTTTAGTTATTTCTATTTCTGGAGAATATTTAAACATATTTCTAGTTATTGAATAATAATTTACATCCTTTTTTGTATTTAAATATTTTGCAATTAAATTTTTAAAAGAAAAACGTTCTTCGGGATTTTTATTTTTTAAATAATTATATTTTCTTATTTTTAACCAATCGGAATTAATTTCTAATTCGATTGTTTCACCATTTGCTAATTTTTTATAATTTTCCTCCGAATAAATTATAAATAAAAGAAAAAATATATTAATAATATTCATTTTTATTTAACTAAATTATTAATTTTTATTTAAAAATTAACATTTAAAAATTGCCCGACAGTTATGTGTACATATTTTCGAAATACCTGCCATCGTTTATGATTGGGCGTCGAATGAATTAAGAATGTCATGCCACATATGCACTTTATTAAAAACAAGTGCGCTTTCCTTTTATATTTTTTTGGCATTATCAATTGAATTTGTACTATACTATATATTTTGTTATATACCTATTGTGTTTTGTAACTACATATGTGAGGTTGGCGGTTCCTTGGAAATCTTCGGTTATCCGGAACCGATAACCAACCGAAAATTTTCGGTTATCCAGTCTTTTTTCGGCTCCGGATAGCCAGAACCGCCCACCTTGTTTGTAACACTATGTAGATATTACGCCTCACAATAAATGTCGGAAAATTTTATTTCAAAAATAATTTTTAACAAAAAATAAGAGGCAGAGGAGCAATAACCTCATTTTCTCGAATAATCTCCAATCCCTGGGATCAGTTGAAATAGTCGGATCTTGTTTATATGTCACTAACATATAAATGGGATGATGTCTAAACAAGTGAGGACCTTGACCAGATTCTCGACCTTGAGTCAAGTAAAATCAGGGGAAAATCTCTAAAATTTACCCAGATAAATTAAATCAAATTACGAAAACCATTTTTATCAATGTTTTACCAATAAATAATATATAGAAAGTTTTATAAAATTTGTGAGTACGCGTAAATAAGAAAGAAAAGAGCACCATAAATTTTTGAAGTGACTAAACCAATATTTTTATAAAAAAAGAGGGAGAATATTTTAAAAATTAATTTTTAAATCAAAGTAAATAACCTAACAAAGCCCTAGGTATCTATTTCTCAATGAGCTTTTGTTAAGGATAAGGCTTTTATTAGGATATTTACGGTATAAACTGGCCAATCCACAATGTAGCAAAGGCGAATCCAGGGGAACTGATGAGGTTGGAGCCTCTCCTCCTCACGAAATGGAGAAAAGAAAGATGTCAAGAAAATTATCAAAAAGTGAAATGAACATGAACAAAAAAATCAAGTGAGTAGCCAGGGACCGGTTTCAGGAGGGTTAAAATTGTTTCATACCAAATCATTGGAAGTGCCCATCTAAATTTTTTTTGAATGACCCTTGCTACGTAGTTAGTAAATATTGAAGTGAATAAAAGAAAAAAATGAGCACAAAAGAATGATCCAAAAGAATAATTTATGAAAGGCGCCCTCAGGTTTTTTTGGTGATTCACATTTTATATTTAATGAAAAGAAGACTAAAACCCTCAAAACCCGCAATTAAAACTTGATAATTTAGAAGTTAAAGTGACTAGAACAGTAAAAATCACAGACAATAAAATTAATGTAGATACAGATTTTTTAGTTGCAGAAGAAGGGACCTTAAAATTAAAAATATTTAAATTGTTATTTTATTTTACCTCAGAAATACAAGCTTCTAATTCTTCCAAATTAAGATTTTCAATAACACAAATATAAATTTTTCTAAAAAATTAAAAGATTAATAAACTTTTATAAAAAAATTAATTCAAAAATTTCTAAATTCGAGTAACCAGAAAATGAACCCTTCTCTGAAAATTAACCTTTCAAACTCAAGCTAATTAACTGCGATTTTTACGGACCGAAATTTGTAGTTTAACAAAAAAAGTAAATGCGTATTCCAGGCAGATCTAATAAATGATAACATTCTCGGGGAGCCTATAGCAAGATGTACCCAATTTTTCACAATTTAATTATTAAATTTAAAAAGTTATTCAAAAACCTATCGATATTTGCATTATCTTCATTTCCATTCATAACTCTATTATAACGAGTATACAAATTAAAAAGTGTATCATTTTTTGCAAATCGCTCTGCCAGATTATTCATTTCATTTGCATCAAAAGTTTTAAGCCCGTAAACTTCACTCATCGAATATTCCAAAACTGTTTTTACTTGATTAGAACCTTTTTGGTTTAATTCATCCAAATTAACATAGAAAGTTCTTTTTTGAAAAAATTTAATTAATTTTTTTAATTTTATGGCTCTAACAGGATTAAAATTTAACAATCGATTCATCTCATAAATTATCCTAAAAGACAAAAACTTGCAAAGATACAAAGACGTGAAAACTGAAGATTATAGGGTGACCAATTTCATATTTGGAGTAAAAAATTCGGCTATAATAAATGATAATCGATTTAGTAGAGCCTGTCAAGCTGACCAGCTCGACGAGAGGAAACGATTGGAATATACTTTTTTCCTGTTCTTGCGACCAATGCACGGATGGAACGGGTTAAAAAGTCGGATCGGGTTTTCAAAAATTTCTCAGGAAGGGTTTCGTGTCGAAAAAAGTCCGAGTTTCGGGTAACCCGTCTTATCCCTGATCCAGTGTACTATAGAGACTTATTAATAATAAAAATATAAAACCTAATATCTTTAATATCATAATTAGTCTTGTCATAGTCAAAAACACGAAAAGCTGGATTATTTAAATCAAACATTGGTGTTATAGCTGGATTTAAAAACATTCGTTGTACTGGTTTCCCATTTGAATCCTTTTAAAAAATTAATTATTTTTAATGAACTAATAATAATTTTTGATGTGATCCTTGCAAGTCAAAACTCTAGGGGGTCGATTTCGGGAGGGCTAACATGGGATGTGCGCCAAAATTTTGGCGTAACTTTGTACCCTTTTTAGTGTCAATGGATCATCGATTTACTATAAAAAAATTTTCTATCTTTTTAACTGTCGATGTGAAACTAAAAAGTTTTGGGGCCTCAAAGTTTGCAAAAATTGGTGGAGAAAAGGAACGCAAGGGAACTAATTGAAAAGTAGTTTACCTAAACAGTCGTTTATATGCACCTATTGCCTCCCAAACTAATTTTAAAAAAACCTTCAAAATTCTAAAAGTATCAGTATGTAAATGTCCAAATAACATAAACCCAATAGAATCTGCATATTTTGTAAACAAATCAATTAACCGTTTATTGTATTGTTTCGGCATTTCAACTTGCCATTCTGTCTTGTCAGAATTAAAAACATACCCTTCAAAAAATATTTAGTTTGATTAGAATTTTTAATTAACGCACGAATACTACCCCCTGGCGGAACGTGCCCAACAATATTTATTTTTCCATTTTTTGATTTAATTTCAGCCAAATATTTTTCAATAAATTCAAATTGGCCAGTTGGGTCCTCTGGATTTGTAAAATTTTCAATTGCAGTATTTATTACATAATAAATATTTGTGTTCAAAACTAAATATTCAGATCCGTCCAATGGAGATTTAAAATAATAATATCCACCACGCAAAAAAGTTTCCTTAGAAATGAGATTTTAAGTAAAAGTTGCCACATTTTGCCACATTTTGCCTTCACAAACATAAAAGGGAGGGAGGACCAATGGATTCAGTCGAGTTGTCACCTAATCAAGTCAGCCAGGTCTGCTGATTTATATTTATTTGATGCTAATTAAATTTTACAAGGATGGTCTTTTCTAGAGAACGGGCTGGATCTGGATCCAGACCTTGATTTTTCCTGGATCCAGAGTCCAGATCAAGGAATTTTTTAGAGTTCCTTGATTTTTCCTTGACTCAAGGTCAAGGATAAGATTTTTTGAAAATCTCGCTCTCTAGTCTTTTCCATTTTGTTGGACGATCTGACTCCGCGGTTAGGTTCGCCTATATGATTCTGGGTAGGATCCGCGAATAGAGTATTAGAGTTACAAAAATGCTACAATGAATATTTTTTAATTAAAAACCTTAGGTTTATCACCAATCCATCCCTTCCAAAGATCATAAATTCCTTGATACATCCCTAATTGTTCTGCATCGTCAGGAAATGAATTAGAAGGTTCCATATCGTGATTACCCAAAATTGGGATGACCAAAACATCAGAAAATCGTTGTTTTATAGAATCGGTGACAGTCATCATTGTATTAATAAATTCTAAAAAAGAGGAAAAATTTTTAATTTCCTATTTTTAAAACCTTTTTGTGTGTATTTTATATGAGCCGCAGTATCGCCAGTCCATATAATAAAATCAGGTTTTGGAATATGCCTCTTTGCTTCATCTAACATATAATCAACTAATGCCTGGAATTTTAATAAAAATATTTTATTTAATTTTGATATCAATTTTTGAATTGGGAAAAAACATATGTTGAAGCTTGGACCGAATCGGTAATTTCATTTTTTATCTAAAAAACTGAATCAGTCCTCTTGGTCAAACTCTAGTTTAGAAAAATGAAGAGACTAGTCAACAGTAACAGAAAAGCCTTCTCCACGTTTAGAACTCACGGAACGGACAAGTCATGGAACGACAAGTCGCGGAATACAAAATCACGGAACGACCAACTCACGGAATGAACAAAACACAGAATAATTTAAAAATCGGAATTTTTTGAAAAATCTGAATACTTTTAAAATATAACTCTTTAACAAATTAGAATATTTTAAAAAACTGAGTTTAAAAATTTTTTTGAAAAATTCTGATTTCTAGGAATATTCTGATTTTTAGAATATTCCGTGTTTTGGTCGTTCCGTGACTTGGTAATTCCGTGACTTGTCGTTTCGCGACCTGTCCGTTCCGTGAGTTGAAATTCCTCGAGTTAGCCCCCTCCCGTTTAGAAAACATTTAAGCGAGCAACCCAAAAAAGTATTTTTTCTAATATAAAATAAAATTTAAACCGGTGGAGAGTCACATTTCCGATCACCATATGTCCCAATAGCATCCTTTTCTCCTGCGTCTCTGGCCTCTTTTGGTGTTTGATTTCCACTATTTTCATCTAAATGACACATTTCTGATCTATTTCCATTTTTGTTGTATTTTTCATCAATGTGAATATCAGTTATAACAAGAAAGTTTCCATTTGGATTGGAATTAGAAGCAGCAAAAGAAAATAGGAATAATAAAATTGAAAGAAGAAAATAATTCATAAAGGGAACCAGAAGACGCAAGTAGCCTTTAAAAAGTTTAAAAATTGTAAAATAATTAAAATACAGTAAGTGAAAAAATAATTACTAAATTAATATTAAGGGCATGTGTGCGCCATAAATTTCTCATGTGCGCAAAACGGCAAACGCAAGCATAGAGAATTTAAGAGTAGACGATTCAGAGTACCCGGTGTAGTGTTAGGAATTTTGAAAAAACCTAAACTGGAAATTAATTGGAAGGAGACCGGGAAGGACCCAGGAAACTGGGATTTCTCGGTATCAATTTTTCTGATCCAAAAATGATCGGAATCCTACTGGGAAATATTAGTATGAGAACATTGTGCATTTATATTGTAGGAAAGTAGTGAAGAAGTTCAGTAGTTTCCATGACAAAACCAAGACTACACCCCAAGTCGCGAGACAATGCCTAGGACTTTACCCCAGACTTAAGACCAGTGCTGAATATGGGACTTTTTGGTGGCACTGGCTTTGACTACTTCAAAATCCCTGCTCAGGCCCATGTCAGTGATCAATCTTATAATTGTAAAACATAAGCTATTTAATTCCTAAGGCTGTGCAGTAGGCGACGTGGTGTAATGGATAACACATCATCTTCTACTGAAGATGAGAATACCCTTTTTCACTAGCTAAAGGAGAGAAATAGCTATAGCCCAGTTGCTTTACTTAAAGGATGAGAGATCAGAAGCTTAATTTCCTAAATATTAAGATGTGCTATAAATATAGAAAATAAAAATTTAATGAAGTTTACATATTTCAAATTCTAAAACTTTTAAATGAATGAGTTTAATAAGCTAAAAATAAACTCTATACAAACAAAAAAATTTAATATTGCTTTAATTTTAAATGACACACTCATATGATTAAAATCAATTAATCGACATCATCCACGTTTAGTTTTGGGGTATTACACGTAGTTTTAGTATTTAAATGTATTAACTGATAGAAACAACAAAAAAATGGTAAAAATGTTAAGCGTTGGTCTATAGGGTAAAATGAAAAGTTAAAGAGATTATAAAATGTTTTATGGGAGCAAGTACATATATTTTATTGTTTAGCAAATATGTAGTTTCGGAATTTATTATTAATATATTGATAGTCTATTTAGGAGAATGTTAATAAAAAAATATTTTATAAACGTGTCAAAATTTAGTGAATAATAAAACAAAGCTTAAAAAAATTTTTATTTGTGGACATCCATAATTTTCAAAATAAAGAAAAGTCGCTGGTTTATTCTTTGATTTTTTTTCAGTTTGTTTTGATTTTTGGTTGATTTTTCTTTTCGATTTTCAAACTTTAACAATATTTATGTAAAGTTGTCTTATCATTTTTTAAAGAATTTATGAGTAAGAAAAATTAAAGGAATGCTGGAAATTCTTCAAAAAATGTTATTTTAAAAATTAGCCGAATATTACATATTATTGTTTAATAATTTATTTTTAGATCTATTTTTATGAAAAAAAGATAAAGCTACATAATTCTATTAAATTCTAAATTTGTATATTAGTGAATAAATAAATACAAAAAATATTTTTCTATAAAAATATGTTTTTTATTTTCAAGAATTTTGTTCTCCTTCCAAATAATTCTCTTTTAGAAAATTAGATTTGTTTGAACACAAATATTTTCGTTTAATTCTACCAAGGCGTTCTCAGCTGGCATTTTTCTTCCATTTTTTGGTTTTAAATACATACATGGCTTTTTAATATTAAATTTCTTTGTATGTTTCAAAAGATTCTCCTCTAGTAAATTTTAGAAAGAACGGATCCTTCCTGATTACATAAATATTAAAAATAAAATTTCTAAATTTATTTTTAACAAATTTATTTTCTATTTCTCAATTTATTTATTTACATATTTAACCAAAAAACCAAAAAATTGTCTACTTTTTAACGCTCCAATTTCCATTTATTTTCATAACAAGTTAAAAGCACTTATAAAATTTTTTTATAAAAAATTGTAAAGATTTACTATTTGTCAATTTATATTTTTGTTAAAACCAAATTTACATAAATTATTGTTGACAATACTTTTTTTTATTTTTAAAATAAAATTTTATTTAGTTAAATATTGTTTCCTTTTATTTTAAAAAATTAAGAATTAATAGACAAATAAATAATTAATTAAACAAACAAATATTTTATTAACCTTTAGGAATTAAATGATTGATAACAGATATTTCTTGTAAATATTGAGAGGCCCGGAACTAAAATTAATTTTTGTCAAATAAATTTTAGTTTTCAGGAAAGTCTCCTAAAATTAATAAAAAAGTTGTCTGGGTATAATATATACCGTATATCCTTTAATAACTACCCTGGGTAATTATTGTTTCGACCTTCCGCTGGCGGGAGTAATTAATCGAGGGAGGGTAATTATAAGAGGTTTGAAATTTGAACGTGGTTTAGGGCTTTTGTTTGGAGGTAATTTTGTTTCAATCTATTGTTGGATGGGGTAATTAATGGAAGTGGGGTAATTATTTGAGGGAAGACAATTAATACAGGTTATACGGTAAATATACTAGAGCTGTCTCGAACTTTCGACTTGCAAATGTTTTTCCTTTCAATTCCAAATAATTCTTGTTTATTTTCTCTTAAATGTTAAAAATAAAGAAACTAAATATGAAAAACTTATTTATGTAAATAAAAGAAATAAAAACATTTTCTCATATACATAATTAGGTAAAATTTGGTAGTTATGGGAGTGGTTTTTTACAGAATGTTTTTCTGTAATCATTGTAGATATACGTATTTCTTTTCTAACTAAAAAATTTATTCACGTCTATAATAAATTATATTTTTAATAAATTAATATTTTCAGTTTGAGAAAAAATTTATCTAAAATTTTCCTGTTTACAAAAAATTTATTTAGTTAATAGATTTTAGAAACCGGACTGGGGGTGTCATAAAAGAATTGAGATCGAGATCTCAAAAAATCCGCAATTTCGATAACCAAGATTTTCGATCAAAATCTTGTCTCGATCCGGTCTCTAATATATTTACTCTTTTATTTTTCTTAAATCTTAAAATAACTCTTCAAATTTAATTTTTGATATAATTAGCTAAAATAAACAAATTCTTCTCTAAATTTAAATTTTTAAATTTACTCGTCTTTAATTCGGTTATTTGCTTAAAGATTAAAAGCAACATTAATCATTTCTTCAAATTTTTTTTTAAATTTTGCTGCGCTATTTTAATACACTACAGTTTTTACTAATTTTTGATCTTTGAACATTTTCTGTTTTCCAATAAAATATTTTTTATTAAAATATTTTTAAATTGTATAAACTAGCCGAACTAATATTAATTTACAATTGAGTTAATAAGCCATTTTTTGGTAATAAATTTGTGTAATAGTTTAAGTAAGGCGGACGGCCCATCCCAGAACATAGCAATGATTGAACGGAACTTGATTCTGAGGACTCTCCGAATTGTTAACCGCCCAATCACCCACCCTACCACCTGCTGATCGTTTTTTATTTTGTCGAAATGTTAATAATAAAATTTGGTAATTCCAAGGCTGGCCCCCCTTTTTTCTGTTCGCCTGACCATTTTGAGCTTTTTTGCTTGACATATAATGTACAATATATCATTCGAAAGAGCTGTTCGAGCTGTGTAGAATGATACTATGTTCGTTTCGATTTTGAGATTCTGAGCCGAATTATGAAGCTAAATCCTCGATGGACATGCATTTTGTGATGTTGAAAGGGATTAAAACAAATGGTCATAACTATGTTTATTTAAGTCGGATTTCGATGAATTTAGTACTGTTCGACTCAGCTTGGAGTGCTCTTTCGAAAGATATATAATTTGCCATAAAATTTTTGGAATTACCTAAAATTTTTATACTATAAAATAGTTTTAAATTTATCTAGAAATATCTAGTTAATAAAACAACAAGAAACTGTTTTAAAGGTGAATCATGACAACTACTCGCTTTAGACAAACAAATGAAGGTAATAAAATTTAAATTTGTCAAATAGTTTTGAATGAATTATGAAAGAATTTCGTTAGTAACTCAAAATTGAGTAAAGATTTTGGACATGATCCCAAGGTTTTTTGGTCCCATTTTGGTTCAATACAATTTTAAACCAGAATATATGTACTGGACTAGACCAGGAAAATTTTCAAATATTATCAAGTCCTTTTTTGAAAAAAAAAATTCAAGTTTTTTTATTAAAAAGAGACGGGAAATAAACTAAAGAGAAATAGTAAAATTCAAAAAAATTTTTGACAAAAAATTTTTTCCCATAGATTATCGCAACGCTTTCTCCTATTTTGATGTGAATAAAGATGGCCACATTACTGCCCATGAATTGGAAACGGCAATGAATAAATGTGGAGTTTACCCAACAAAATTGGAATTACGGATTATTATGAATCAGATGGATAAAGATAGTAAAAGCTTTTAAAGAAAAATTTCCAAAAAAATTAATTAATTAGAGAATGGACTAATAACTTTTGATGAATTTGCTTCAATGATGCGTATACAAGAAAAAGCACAAATTTCTCATAGAATACAATGCCAAAAACGAATAATTAATTTGTCGAATGAACAACCAGAAATACGGCAAGAATTACTTGCTCAATTTCGTCTTTTCGATAAAGTAAAATTCGAGAAAGTTTTAGAAAAAAATTTTTTGTTTTTATTAAAAGGACAATGATGGGTTTATTTTACCCGAGGAAATGAAGAAATTGATAAGTGAACTTCGATTGGGAAAGAACTTCCCGGAAAGTGTTGTTGATCAGGTAAAATGAATTTGATTAGAGAAAAAAGCTACTTTGAAAACTATATTAAATCGGAAGATATGGGTTAAGTTCCTAAAATCAACAGATGTAAAAAGACACGGAAAATTTAGTTTGGCTATAAACTCGGAAACTTCGACTAAAATTTAAATATTTGCAATTTATCCTAGAAATTAATTTAATTTTTTAGTTATTTTTGGAGGCAGACGCAGATGGTGATGGAAAGATAAGCTTTGAAGGTAAAATTTATTTTCGGAAATTACTATTTAATATTTGTTTAAGAATTCGTCATGGCAGTCGTTTGAAGAGGAAAAAACGAAATATATGTATAAGTAAAGATACTCATCAAATTATTAATTTCTATTAATATTAGGACAGCACTTCTTTTTATCCAATCCTTTTATTAAATCTTCTAAAATATGATTACAATAAATATAAAAATCCCTATCAATCCCCTTGTAAACGATAAAAACTTTTGTAATCATAGGGCATTGAGTTACCGTATTTACTCGATTAATTCCCCTCCCTCCAATAATTCCCCCTACTACGGATGAGTTGAAACAATAATCCCCCTCCCCCAAATACCCTATTACACGATCAAATTTCAAAACTCGAATAATTCCCCACCCTTGAATAATTACCCATGCCACGGGTGGGTTAATCGAGTAGATACGGTATATGGTAATTCATACTTTTCCTGAATTGATAAAGTTTGTATGAAATGCGAAAAAAAAATAAATTTTTAAACTAGAAGGAAGAACATCTACATATTGTAATATTTTCTTCGCATTTCAAAATTTTACTCATTTTACTTTTTCTATGTTGCTCTCTCCTACCTACATATGTATGTAATTTGGCATTTTTCCAATGTTTTATAAAAAATAAAAGCATTTTATTTGATAAAAGCGCAAAAAAGAGCTGTTTTTTCACAGTTTTTTCTCAAATAAAATTTACTTTTATATTAAAAAAAGGGTTTTTTTCTTAAATTCTTTTTATTTTCCTTATACATATTGGCATAGGTACTTATTGGGAAATTCGAAAAATAGTAGTAACAGGTGGGGGGACGCACACACACATACACTTACACAAATAATGAAATAAATCAATACAAAAAAATGAAATTCGCTAGTTTTTTTACTTTTACTCCATTACAATTTTAATATTTTTAAATTAAATTCGAGATTAATTAATTTTAATTTATGTTAAATTAAAATATTTAAGTTGTTCTTACTTAATTTCGGCAACAAACATGTTGTAACATTTCCATTTCGAACCACAGAATAAAAAAAATTAATGACATCGGGAAAAGAACTCTTAATTAAACAAACCCCTTAATCAAGAACAGACCCCTCAATTTAATTAAAAAAAATTTTTAAACCTACATATTTATTCTAGTATAGGGTTTAATTCCCAAACCCCCCACACACATATCTACAAACATAAATATATTTTAATAATATTTTTACTAAAATTCCCTAACAACTTTATATTTAATTTTTAAATTTTCTTATTAATGGCCCCAACAAAACGAAAAGCAGATACTTTAGAAGATCGTCCATCTTCTTCAATATCTAATATATCTTCCTCTTCAAAATCACCTACAGATAAACAACAACAACAATCATCACCTTCTACCCCCAAAAATAGTATTTATAAAAAAAGAGGGCAGAGATTTGTAGTGGAAGATTCTACAAGTATGGAGAAGTGTGTAATTATATTGTTTATTTTAATGGGGGGGGGGGGATTTCTCGTACGATTATCAAAAGATCTCTATTTTGGGAATTTATAAAATTTATAATTTTTAAAGATAGAAATTCTTTGTTTTTTCATGATTTTTAATTTTCTAAATGAATTTTCTATTAGTTGTTCCGAACAGCTTCTAAGCTTTGTCTTGCTTTTTTGTTACTAAAAATCTGTTCTGCTATAATTTATACATAGTTTTTCTTAATCAGATTTATACCATGTGCAATAATCAAGGAAGGGGAACTTGTTGATTTGGAATTAGAAGGCAAGAAAAGTAAAATATATATTTAATATAAAATATGACAAATTTTACGGCACAAAACGAATGAAATTGATTTCTTGAATTAAAAATTTTTTTTAAAAATTCCTCTAATTATTAATTAATTAAAAGTCAAAATATAATATTAAAAAATTCCAGATAAAATTGTCCGTAGAATTTTGAAAGAAGCAAAAGGAAACATAACAATTTATGTGAGAGAAGGCGATAATGATAAACGAATTGTACCATTTTTCCGGGAAGCTTCTATTTTTAGCAATTTTCATCCAGTAACGTTTAATGTTGCTTCTCGTGAATTTTGTTGCAATGAACAATTCTTTCATTATTGCAAGGTCAATTAGATTTTCTTGAGATGTTGGGCGGATCGTGTTTGCGGGATCTCGCATGCAGGATTTTTTCTAAAAAATTTTTTTTGGGACGGGATCCCGTGGGATTAACTCCTTATATTTCACAAAATTCCTTTTTAAAATTTTCAGCATCCCACGCGGGCATTTTTCTACTTTGAAAAAAATTCCCTTCATATATTTTATTAAAATTATTTAAAGGCAATCTCTTTCGGTGATCGAGCAATTGCAGATAAAATAATGCAGACAAAATCCCCAAAATCTCAAAAACTTCTGGGAAGACGTATAGAAGGATTTGATCCTTCGTTATGGGAGCCAATTTCTATTTTAGTAGGTTGACTGATTTGGAATAGAAAAATATTTTTTCAATAAAGGCAATGGTGATTGGATTGATGAGAAAATTTCAACAAAATGAGTCAATCCGCAAAGATTTATTAGCTACAGGGGATGCTGAGTTAATCGAAGCTAGTCCTTTTGATGAAAAATGGGGAGCTGGAATAGGAGCAAATCAAATAATTGCAGGGGAGGACTGGGAAGGAACAAACTTTTTGGGTAAGAATTTGTTCTGAAACTCTTGACAATTTTTGGCACTAATATGGAAACTAAAAGGAACCTTTATGATACTAAAATGGGGGGTTTTCTTAGAAAGAAGAGACCTCTACTTTCCATATAAGAGGCTGACTCTTAAGCCGAAACTTGACATGTTATAAATTTTATAAACCTGGATTCAGAGGGATCACTTGTGGGGATGGGAATTTGAATGGATACTGTGATCTCTCTCTATACCCGTGATCCCTCTCTATAGTGTCTACAAATTCTCTCTAATTAGTCTACTTTTCTATTTAAAATCTCTTCAACAATACTAAAAATCCCCTAATTGTAAACATTCTAAGAAAGCAGTTAAACCCAAAGAAATTTTTTCTACTCAATTTAAGGCCGTACTTTAATGGCTGTTAGAGATCAATTACTTTCTGCAAACGAAGAAACCTCTGAAGCTCCACCAGTCAATTCTTTAAGTTGCTCTCCAATTACTGAATTTGCTACAAATAAAGAACTTTGTTTGGCTACTTCTCTTATTAATGATTTTGAAATTGTTTTGAAATAAAAAAAGAATTTAAAGAGAACTTTAAATTATTTTAATTTAAAATTAACTGTTTTATTAATTTATTAATCAAATTTTAATCTAATCTTTTTTATACAAATATATTTATTAAATAAATATAAAATGACTATGATTTTTTAATTTTATTTTTAATAAATTACACAGTTGATGTAAGAGCCATCGGTAGCTAAAAAAGAAATAATTATTTTAAATAAGTAAATGGATTATTTGGAAATAAAAACTAGGCAAGGTCTTTCAGTCTCTATTTTTAAAAGAATATTAAAAGTTTCCACAGAAATTAAACGAGGATCGAGACCAGGGGTGGACGCAATTGAAAAAAATTTTCCGCAGCCGCAATCCACAAATCAAAAAACCATATAATTTACGCAATCGGCAGTTGCGTCCAGCCCTGTTAGAGACGGTCTTTCAAAAAATTACAGGAGATTTTTAACTAGATCTCAACTTAGTATAACTTGAATTTAACTAAAAAGAAATGAGAAGATTTGAGGAAACAATTGAGGGAGAGAGAGAGAATTTTTTAAATTTAATTATTTACTTGTTTTGGAGTAATTGATGATTTTAGACTTCTCCTTTCTAAAGGTATTGGCAATTTTTGTTGATTAGAAATTTCATTATTTTTAAGTTGTTTTCCAGATGGGGGAGATTGAAATGTTTGTGAAGAAATGTTTTGCCGAGGAGGTTGATCATAAGAGATAACTATTTCAGAATTAATCCGATATTGCCTTTCTGTCTATTAAGAAAATAAGAGAAGTATTTTTTCTTATATATAAAATAAGAGAAGTATTTCGAACTTCATTATAATATACATAGACCCTCACTATTATCGGATTCTACCCAATTTAAATTTGATTTCGAACTAATTAAATCTTTAGTTCGGTTAGGATGAATAAATCCTTCCAGTTGACTACTGGAAGGAGGTTCCCTTCGGTAGAGAAGAATAGATTTTTTTGTACCGAGGGGTATCTTATAATGAAGGTCCGACTGTATTTAAAAACAACCTGAGAATCTAAGGTTCCATCATTAGTCATTGGAGGAATGATTATATGCTTAAAATAATATTCAAAATTTTATTGTTGCGTTTTTGTTTAAATATTTTCTATTAGCTTTAAATTAAATTTAAAATTCCGTTATTCTTTAAGCAAAAAGCGGTTCCAAAAATAAAATAATAAATCTCTAGAAATATAACTTGAGGTATCGAGATGCCTTGAGGTACTTCTAAAGTTTTTTGTGAAGGCCTCGGTTGGGATGAGATGCTTTCCATAGCCGATTCATTTCTTTTTCGTTTTCTTGGTAAAATCGGAGGTGCTAAACTTTGTGTTCTTTCTTTTGAGTTTATATTAGTGTAATTATGTTCAGAATTTGCCATTGGTTGCACAATGCCGCTCCTAGGAATGGAAGAGTTTTAATTGTAAAACGCGTGATTTATAAGAATTTAATGTTAGCAAACTTGCTACTAGAAGGCTTAAATGAACTAATTATTGAAGACAAACCAATAATCGCTTTCATGATCAGACCAGTGTGTCTGTGGGGGTAAAGGCATAGGTGGACGATGCCTTAGCCTGTTTTGTGTTAGATTCCTGTCGAATCTATTATCATCTAAATTATCAGTAATTTCATGATGAGTTGCTAAGGAACAGAGTGAAGAGCTTGAATTTTTCCTATGCCTGGAAAAGTAAATTTTTATTATTCTGGTACTATTAAAATACATCCACTTATTTATTTACCTCATTCCTGTAGAAATATCTGGATAACAACGACGACATTGATAACGATAATTGTATCTTCGCCCATGCTCCCTGCCACAGTTTCTGCATGTTGGTCTAAAAACCGTTTCTAAAATTAGTTAACTAAAAATGGTAAGATCAGCCTATGGACTCCTCCATACTAGTGATGTTCGAGACTCTCGGTCTCGACTCTCGAGTCGAGAAATTTCTCGGGTTTTTTGAGCTCTCGGTCTCGGTCTCGGTCTCGGTGTTTTGGTCTCGGAAAACGAGACTAAATTTACACCCCTAATGACGGAAATTTTTTGAACTTTACTCGGACCTTGCGTACTTTGATATTAAAATTTTTAAGGAAAAGTCTCCAAAATTCCCAAAATTTTGATGCGGCGCTGAAAAATGGAAGAAATCTGGCTTCTTGAGCTCCAAAATTCTCAAAATTTTCGCCTGCGGCGCTGAAAATGGAGGAAATTTGGCTTCTTGAGCTCCAAAATTCAAAAAATTTTCGCCTGCGGCGCCAAAAATGCAGCAAAAATTTGAATTTAATAAGATTAAAGGATTAGATTTTGTGGTTTGTGGTATATTAGATACTGTGGATTCTGAAGGATAAAATTTAATATCAAGGGATGGGTGCATCGATGGATCAAAAAGATATTGTTGGATTTGTAGGGATATGGAAGGATATGAGGGGATTTTAAGAGATTAATGTGAATATCATTGAATATATATTGTGGACAAGTGGATTCAAGCGAGTATGGGGATTTTGAGGTATATCAAGGGATTTTTGGGGATTAGGAGGGACATCAAGTGATATCCCTCTTAATCTCTCGGTCTCGACTCTCGGTCTCGACTCTCGACTCTCGTTTTGGTCTCGGTCTCGGGGTTGATTCTCGGTCTCGGTCTCGACTCTCGACTCTCGGGATTTTTTGACTCTCGAACATCACTACTCCATACATCCATTCCAGATGATAAATAAATATTAGTCCCATCCATAGATTAAATGAATAAAAATTAACCTATATCGATGTGAAGAATTAGCCCTCCGAAATCTGTTCGGTGTTTCCCTATAAAATTCATCAGCATGTCGGTGGAAAGGCCGATCAATTGCAGATCTTGATCTTGGTACATCAAAGGGAGGAGAGAAACTGTCACGATATTGTGTTGGTGGAGCTAAATATTTTTTAAAGTTTTATAAAATTTAATCTCTTTTTTGAACCTGAGGCTTCCTGAACGAATCTCTCCATTGGGGTTTTTTGCTTGTAAAATGGTTGTTTTGGTAGTTGTTGTGGCATTATTTGTTCTGTTGATGGTAAAGGTGGTACAGGAATTGTATGAGGTGGAGGAATGGATTTAGTATGCCTCAAAGGAGGTTGTTGTCCGGGAGGAGAGATTGCAGGGAATTGGCTGGCAGGAGGTCGCTGAATTCCTCCAAATCGTCTCTGTCCTTGTTGTACTTGTGGTAAATCGATTCTTTTATCAGGATCAACAAAATCTTAAATGGGAATATTTTTTTTAGTAGAAGAATAAATGATTGGTCGAAAAGATAAGTATGAGAAGTTATTGAGAGGATTTTTAAAAGTTCTAATCAAAATACTGCCTTGATCAATCCGTTGAGGTATTTCTCGTTCCCTATGAAATCGTTGGTATTTTCTTCTTCTGGCATAATATTCAAGTTCTGCTTGCATTCGCTGATGAAAAGCAACGACAACAACAAAACAATAAATCTTTAATATTCTTCAATTATTTTTACATTAAATTACAAACATTTAAGAAAACCCCAAACATTTCTATTATTGTCAACATTAACCAATAATCTCTGACATCCCCAGCCCACCACATAATGCAATATGCAAGGGATGTAAGTATTGAGGCACACATTGTAACCATCCATGGGACAAGGAGGAAACGAGACCACTAAGTAATTAAGGTATAAAGGATTTCAGTGTTTTTTAATACCGTATGAACCCCGTATATCATCATGATGGAAGTAAATAGAAGAAAGAATGCAGCAATCAAGCATAATATTTGGATGATAAAAAGCCCTAAATTTTTAATTTTATAAGGAGTTTTAAAGTATTTATTTAATTTTTGTTTAATAACTTTGTTCGTCTTAAGTAATTAGATAAATTGGAGTTAAAAATACAAATAATCCTAACATGTATAATAACGTTCTTCTGGTGACTGCCAATAACTTTCATAATATGTCGGAATATCATAGCGACCATAAGAATTGTAATTCGGCAAGAGTGTGTTTGCAGCACGATCCTTTTCGTATTTTATTGCTGCCAATTGCCAACCAAAGATAGACAATTGCACAATACTGTAAATCTGTTGTACAGGTTTAGATAAATACTAGAGGATTTATGAGATTTTGAAAAAAAAGTAAGAATGAAAATGATTAGGGAACATGATTCTGAAGGTGTGAATGATGATAAAGAATAATAATCTTTTTAATAATGAATAGTTATTATTCAGTTCTAGAATTCTAATTGCAAAAAATATAATAAAAATTCTCATGGAAAATAGCAGGAAAATAGGGACACTTAGAAATTTGTGAATAAATTCTTATTAAATATTAACTTAAGACGAACAAAGATATATTTAAAGAAGTATATTTTTTTTAAATTTAGTCAATAACCCTCAATAATGGCAGAAGTTCTAGCCGTAGAAGCCCCCACACATGGACAATAATATTCACATTGAAGATTAGATTGTGCCATAACAACATGCTGACATTGAGTTAACACACTAAATTGCCATCCAAAAATTGCTAATTGGGCTAGGGCATAAATCTTTAAACAAAGGAGTGATTTTGAAGAAATTGAAAGAAAAGTAAAAATTAAAAAAACAAAAGGCATTTAACCACAAATTAGAAAAAAAATACAATTAAAGGTCAATTTAACTATCATTAATCAGACTAGGTATATTTTTATTTCGATTTAGGAAAAATTATATGATAAAATTAAAAATTTCTAAGTGTCCCAAATATTTTTAAAATTTAAAAAAAATTAAGAAAAAGGTATTCACCGTTGACCAAATTCCAATTGTAACCACAGCATCTTTTAAGCTTAAACAACAACAAGGGTTGCAAGCCATTGCTTTTCCCCCTTTTTTTGCGGGTTATTTGAATAAATTAAAATATAAATTAAATAATTTACATCTGATTTTAAATTTAATAGGCAATATAAAATGGTTAAATAAAAAATTTGAATAGTCCGATAAAAACTTTTTAATCTTAGAAAGAGTATTCAGAGGTTTTTAATTAATTTATTAAAAGTAAAAATAAATTTCAAAACTTAAAAGAGGTAAAAAATAAAAAAATTTGTTTGTTTTTTCGTTGCTATGATTCATAAAGTCAGCTAGTTTTTTTGGAAATTCGGATTGATTTTTTAAAATAATATTTAAGATTTTAATTGCAAGCAAAAAATATTTAAATGTACGATAAATTGTTAAAAGAAACTTTTTAACAGAAATATTTCTAAAGTAAACAAAAAATAATTTGAAAATTTAACTAGAAACCAGGAATTTTATTTAAATTGATGGGTCATGTAACTGTTAATTATACATGTTTTAAAATTCCTAATAAACCGCACTTCTATTTTTAAATATCCTTATTTTAAAAATTTTATTTGTGGAAATTTACAACAATTTTTAACACAAAAATAATTAAAAGTATAAAAATTATCGCAACACCAATTATTATTATCAAATAATTATTTTTAATTAAAAAAAGGCAACTAATAAAACCAAAAAATTGGGTTTAAAAATATTTAAAGATAATTTTTTATTTGCAATTGTTTAAAGAAAAAAGATTGAAAAATAATAAATGTTTAGTAAAAATACTACTCTCAAATTTCAGACAGCCGAAAAAGAGTGAGAGGAAAATCAAATAATAAAAATTTTTGGGGAAAAGAATGTGAGTCATTTCTTTCTCTCGGGACTTTGTGTGTAGGTAAAGCTTTAAAAGCAGTCCGGCTGTCCAAAATATTTTTCTAACAATTGTGTGTACTTATTTGTTTGTATAGAGTACATAAATATATTTATTTGGATTTAATTTCGCGCAGAGTCAAGTGTTGTCGGCTGTCAGAGTTTATCGAATTTTTAAATTTTGTGGACTTGAAATAATTTTAAATATAACTTTGGGTTCTAAAATTGTAGAAGTTAGAGCAATAAATTAATTGTTAGAGAGCTGATTAAGGTGCTCCTAAGGAAATTTTTAAAATTTAACCTTTGTGCACAACAATAGAAATTCCGCAATTTTCCATAAAAATCAAAGAAAAATTTTGAAAAATCCGTAATTTTCAACTGTATTTTATATTCTAGTATTATATAATAAAAATTAAAAAAATATTTCAAAAAAACTAAAATATTATTTATATAAAACAAAATTGTACGATGAAAAAATGCAAATAATTGAAAGTAAAAGAAAGGTCCGAGAATTATCGCTGCTCCAATCCTTCCCGAAAATTGCGTACTATAAAGATTGTTTTTTTATTTTTTGGCTGTCAAACAGGAGAAAGATAAATTTGAAACGTAAATTAGCCTTCAATCAAGGAAAGTTTTTATGGTCATATAAAATATTACAAATATATTTAAATTAGTTTACTTAATAAGAATGAAACAATTAATATCAGAAGTCAGCCGAAGCAGAAGTTGACTTAATTTTGTTTCAATTGGGTTTTGGAATCATGAAGAATAACTGAAAAAAAGCATTCAAATTCAGCTATCTAAATGACATATTTAATAATTTCATTTTTCTGATACCATTACAAAATTTATTAATTTTTTGTTAAAAAAATACCGTTACAACTGATAAGCAAATAAATAAATTATTAAAATTAATTGATTTACAGTGCCGGAAAAAAAGATAGGACCAGAGGCTGTTAATTTAGTTTTTTTCGCTTATCTCTTTTTTAATGGCATTTAGGAAAAAAGTTTCAACACAAAAATTTTAGGCCATTATGTGCTCTTTAAAATGAGTATAAATATCAGTATACTTTATCGACAGAATTTTATCAAAAAAATTTTAAACAATACTACTCAATTTTTGGGGTGGAAAAAAAGATAGGACCAGACTAGAAATATCGACTTTTGTTCGGTCAAAAATTCTATAAAATTTTCGAGATTTGAGATCTCGATGAAGAAATAAGTTACGGACTTCGTTCTTTTTAATTTTCAACTCAGCATCGATGGAAATGTTCACAAAAATTTTTATAGAATTTTTGACCGAACAAAAGTCGATATTTCTAGTCTGGTCCTATCTTTTTTTCCACCCCAAAAATTGAGTAGTATTGTTTAAAATTTTTTTGATAAAATTCTGTCGATAAAGTATACTGATATTTATACTCATTTTAAAGAGCACATAATGGCCTAAAATTTTTGTGTTGAAACTTTTTTCCTAAATGCCATTAAAAAAGAGATAAGCGAAAAAAACTAAATTAACAGCCTCTGGTCCTATCTTTTTTTCCGGCACTGTAATATGTTTTAAATTTATTTTATACATATTTTCTAAAAATTAAAAAAAATTTTTTTCACGGAAGATAATATGTATGTAGCATGCAGTATTATTTTCTTTTTTTCTTTACTAATTATTTTTAAGCCTCTTATTTTGCCAAAATAATTTTCCCTTTAACGCATAATTTATGAATTTTCTTCCGCTCCCACTCACATATACAAAAAGCAACACAACTCAAAAAATAAGAATATTATTTTTGTTGAGATATACATATTTATTTATTTTCTTTTAAAAAACAATTTTCTCTCACTTGAAAGCTTAAAGCTTTTTTGTTTGTTTTTTTATTGGGTTATTATTTTTGTTATTGTCTGGTCTGAAAATAATTGGCATTGTTTCTTACATAATTTTAATAGAAATACGTCAACACCGTGTATAGGAGCCTTATAGGCTTTTAAGATCCAAGATTAGATTTTTCCGTCCTTGATCCCTTTATCAAGGCATTGTCTCAAGCCTTATCTTGAGATGCAATCATGCCTTTGGTCTTGAGAAATTTTCGGTCGTGTACATTTTTGTTATAAACCCTATGGTCAATTCTTCATGTTGGAATATAATCTTTAACTGTATTTATTAAATTTATTTAAATGCATATTACATTCAGCTCATTATTTATTTAAGTTCCTCGTTGTTTTAGATTATCAATAAGTAAAAGGTGAGTTAGTAAAAAAATTGATAAAGAATATTTTTATGTTTTCACTTAACATAAGCTTAAAAACGTATTAAAAAATTTATATTTATATTTCTATGTACTTGTTATCAATTTAATTATTTATTTGGTATTTGCATTTTTCTTTTATTTCTGCCCTTTTTCTCCTATCCGAAAGGCGCACATGTAAAAAATACTGCCACATTATTTTTTATTCGAAAATTGATTAAAAATATCAAATATTTGATTAAGTATCATATTTTTAGAACTACAGAAAGCCACAGACTTAATTTACAATGCGTAATTAATTCCAAAAGATGTTTTGAATTATGCCTGATGTTCTCGTTTCCGAGGCCTAAAGTCTAGAACTTTTAAAATGGGGCCCAGAATGTTTTAGAAATTTTATCGAAATTTCGAATGAACGAAATTGATTTTTTTGAATTGTTTCATTTTTATTTTATATAAATCCAATAATACCATTATTTAAAATGCTAATACAATTTTTTCAAAGAAATGGATGTTGAGGCTTTTCGAAAAAATGGAAAGGAATTAATTGATATAGTAGCTGATTATTGGGAATCGTTGGATACTAATAAATGGGAAAAGCCATTACCTGATATAAAACCTGGCTTTTTGCAATCTCTAATACCCGAAGAGGCACCTGAAGAACCTGAAAGTTGGCAACAGATTTTTGCTGATATTGAACCTGTTGTTTTGAATGGAAACACACATTGGTAGATTACATAACCTTCCACAGAGCCCATTTAAATTAATTAACTCTGCAGGCATCATCCAAACTTCTTTGCTTATTTTTCTACCGCTTGTAGCTATGCAGGTGTCATGGGCGATATTCTTAGTACGGGAATTGCATCAATCGGATTTACATGGGTATTTCACGAAATACATTTGCAATTTATTCAAAAAATCCTTTAAAAATTCAAAGAAATCAAGTCCATCAATGACTGAACTTGAAATGGTAATGACCGATTGGTTGGCAAAAGCTATTGGATTACCTCACCAATTTTGGAATTCTGATCCAGGGCCAGGCGTTGGAATGATACAAAGTACTGCAAGTGATGCTACACTAGTAGCATTACTTGCAGCTAGAGCTAGAGCTGTTAAGGTGAAATTGAATCTTCTATCGTGAAAAAAATATTTTTTTTTAAGAAGTTAAAGTCACAGAACACCCAAATTGGTCAATGGGAAAAATTCTTAAAAACCCCATTTATTAAAGCACTTGGGCATCAATTAAGTGAAGTTGGTGAATCATTGAGGAGCAACTTGCCCAAATTTAATGGGATAATTAATGGTGGGCAAAAAGTAAGGAGAAGTATCTGTTTGAAAAAAAAAGTTATAAACAAAAATTTAGAAAGTTGAACAAACAACAAAAAATCCAATCGGCGAAGTATCAATCTTTGAAGCACATGATTCAGCTTATTTTGATAGATTAGTAGCTTATTGCTCTGATCAAGTGTTTTTTATTTATTTATTTTGTTAATTTTTATTTTTAAGGCCCATTCTTCAGTAGATAAAGGTATAATGTTAATTGGTGTTAAAATAAGAAAATTGCCTACATCCAAGTATTTAAATATTTAATTTTTTGTAAATGAAAATTTAATTAAGAAATAAATTGGGAAATTTTTCATTGGAAGCTTCAATACTTGAAAAGGCTATAAATGTAAGTTGAAGAATTTCAAAGCTAAATTTAGTAGTTAAAAAAATTTTTTAGGAAGACCGCTCAAACGGTTTAATCCCATTTATTCTAATAATAACTGTGGGCACAACAAATACATGCGCAGTTGAATCTATTAGAGAATTAGGTCCAGTATGTGTAAGGGAAGGTATTTGGGTGCATGTAGATGCTGCTTATGCTGGTAAAATTTTTATTATTTAATTTTTATTTAAATTTAAAAATTCAAAGGCAGTTTTCTTCTCTGTGAAGAATTTGCTTATTTGGCAGATGGTGTCGAATTTGCTGATTCTTTTAATTTTAATGCTCATAAGGCAATGATGATTAATTTTGATTGTTCTCCAATGTGGTTGGTTGATATTTTGGTAGTATAGGGTGAAAATAATTTGGGGTAACTCTTAGGTAGGTAGGTATATCCTTAATTCAGTGGACAATTAAAGCTAGACAAACAAGGTATCCATTCTCATGTGGTATCTAAAAAATTGTCTGAAATATAAACAGGCCTCAATATTTCTATTTTTTTCAAAACTCCATCCATGTTTATAAGTAATTAAAATGATCATGAAACAATTCCAATCTCCAAGACATAATTAATCTAAAAATCTTCAGGTTCAAAAACGGAGCAGAGTCAATTTCTTATTTTAACGTCGATCCAGCCTATTTGAAACATGAATATCAGGCAGTTGCTTCTGACTATAGGGTGGAGATTAAATTACTTTTTTTAAATTAATTATTTGTAAAGCATTTACAAATTGCTTTGGGCCGTAGATTTCGTTCACTAAAAATTTGGTTTGTCCTTAGAGCGATTGGAATTAAAGAGATTAAACAATATTTGAGAAAGGCTAGTCAAATATAAATTATCTTTTAAAATAATTTTTAGCAAGTTGAATTAGCTAAATTGTTTGCAGAATTACTTATGAATGAAACAAATGGTTATATTTCATCTTTTGAACTTTTTGTTCCTCCACATTTGGGCTTGGTTTGCTTCAGATTAAAAGTAAATATCTAATAGTTTGACATGCCGACAAAATATAGCTTATTTGGACTAAGTAAAGTTCAGTACCCTACTTAAGCATACAATGGCGCATCCCACGTCAAACCTGCCTTAAATATCACTTTTCTACATTTTTCTTAATTTATATTTCAGGGAAGCAATGAGTTGAACGAAGCACTTTTGGCAGCTCTAAATACCGATGGCCGTATCCATTTAGTTTCTTCAAAAACTCACGGTACATATTTTCTTCGTTTTGCAATTTGCAGTTCAAAAACAACTGAAAAACATGTACATAATGCTGTTGAGTTAATTAAAGAAATTGCAGAGAAAATCTCAATTTGTTATTAAAAGATTTATTACGCTAATACCTATCTTTTATTTTTCACACTTTCAAATTGTTTTGTAGCCTATATGTAGCTAAAATACAGTCGGACACCTCAATTTATGGTACGTACTAGTGCTTCGCCGGAACGCAAATTTGGCTGGAACCGGAACTGAAATTTTGATAGGAACCAGAACATGAACCAAAAAATCCCGGAGTTCCGGCCTACCGGAACCGGAACTTCCGGCGAAGCTCTAGTACGTGCATCTTTTAAAAGCACTAAACGATATCCTCAATAATGAACACAATTAATTATAAATAGCTTTTCGTCCCCAAGGGTGTATTAAAAGAGCTCCATCTTTGTTTTGATCAGAAAATTATCAATCTATTAATTAACATCTATTTAATCACCATAATTCAGGGCTTCGATCTCGAATTTTTAAAAATCCGCAATTTTGATCGAAAAAATCCGCATTTGATATGAAAAATCCGCAAAAAGTTATCAAACACAAAAGTTGAATTAAAATCACTTTATACGTTATATTTTTTGACTCCAACAACGGAATTGAGCAATTTTTCCTAGTAATGACTATTTTATTAAAATCCGAACAATTAAAGGAAAAATTATGTTGACTTGAGCCAGGCCCGTAGCCAGGAATTTTTTCGGGGGATGGAGGGCCAAAAGGGAAAACTTTTTCTATGCCAAATTTTTGAGAATTTTAGATGGCTTTAGGCCAAAAAAATTAACTTTTTAGCGCCGCAGGCGAAAATTTATTTAATTTTGGAGTTCAAGAAACTAGATTTCATACATTTTCAGCGCCGCAGGCAAAAATTTTGCGGATTTTGGAACGCCAAGAAGCCAAAAATCGCCTTTTTTCGGCGCCGCAGGCGAAAATTTTGCAGATTTTGGAAGGCCATGAAGACAAAAAATGACATTATTTTAAAAACTACAAGAAAATACAAAAAATCCTCATAATCTTCAAAAGACCACAAAAATCCGCAAATCCGCATTTTTAAAAATAATCCTCATCGCCCTATCAAAAAACCACAAAATGAGGAAAAATCCGCAGAAATCGAAGCCCTGCCATAATTTTTAATAAATTTTCACCTTTAACTAAAAAAATAAAATAAAAATATGTTTACTAACTAACACGTAAATATTATGCATTTTTCTTATAAAAAAATTTTTTTTCATTTAGTACAATAGTAGGCGCCAAGTTGATAAAATATTTTTTGTATTATAAAAATATTTATAGTAAATATCCAAATCTTTTGTTAAAAGGATCACATTACTCATTGAAAAACAAGAATTTTACTAAAGAATTTTAGGTTGCCTTTAAAGTTTTGATAAAATTGAAAACAATTTTTTGAGGATTTTTAAGAAAAGTGTTAACCTTTTTGTTATTTTTTAATGTTTACTTAAGTGTTGTTCTAACAGATTTTTTTCTAGTATATAAATAAATATTTTGAAGTTAAGTGAAAACAGTCTTTTTACAAATTCTTATCCATTAATAAATAAATAAATCCTCCAAAATAATGAACAAAATTTTAATCATTTTTGCTATAATTTTTCTCTCAAGCTTTGCTTTAATGCAAGTTGATGCTTGGTGGTAAGAATTTAAATGATAACTTTTAAGAAGTTTTTTAAATTAAAATAATAGTATAAGGTATTTATTAGTGTTCCGACGGAACCGCAAATTTGGCCGGACCAGAAAATCCCGTAACTTTCGACCTCCGGAACAAGAACCGGAACTTCTGACAACTGGAACTGGAACTTCCGGCGAAACACTAGTATTTTAGCTTTGGCAAAATACTAATATCGAAATAGAATTTTGTATAATATATCTTATCATAAAGGAACCTAAATTTAGCAAACAACATTTTGGATAATTTAAAAACTATTTTACATTAATCAGGCCTTATTATGGATATGGATATGCTGCTGGCTATTATCCTTACTATGGCTATGGCAAACGTGAAGCTGGATTTCAGAACTATTTACCAAATAAGCCGTCAAATGGGCATGTAATACCTGGAAATCGTGAGGATGATATGGGGATAGCTTAACTAATATTTGAGGAAAAGAATTAAAAAAATAAAGAAATATATTTTTAATCACCTGATGAATAAATAAAACAATTGTAATATTAAAACAAAAAAAACAAATATTATTTTTAATAAAAAATTTTAAAAAATGCATTGTCTAATAATTTTGTGAGCATTATTTTTAATTAAAATGAACAAAAAGTATGAATTCATTGTTCATTGTCTATAGGAAGTTATCCTAATTTGCTCTTTCGAAAATTTTTTAAATTTGTTAAAAGGTTTTCAACATTAATGTAATCCCGTTTTTAATTTTAAATTATCATTTTCTGTTTGGACGAGATCTTTTTTTTTAATTTATTTAAACATCGTTAGTTTCAATAAATTGTGTGATGACCTCACAATACGATTAAAGAAAGGATTGTCTTCTCTTTTCTTTCATCAAAGTTCAGTTCCACTTAATTTTAAAGATCTTTGATTCATCACTAGATTATCTCGTAGAATTAAGCAATAAACACGTTTCTGTGTTCTTTTAAATTTATTATACCGGAAGCTGATGTAATATACGAACAAATAATCCAAATTTACTTAACAAAACTTTCCTCGTTAGTAAATTTTGAATTTTTACGTATTAGAGACGTATCATTTTTTAATTAAATATCAGAACAGACAATTCTCTCTCTCTAAAACAATTAAAATAGGATTAGACAAATAAATTTTTTTTAAATTCAAATTTAATTCGTAAAGGTCTCTGATCAATTTACTTAAATAAGTATTAAAACATAGCTATTTAAATAACGAAAAAATAATCAGAAAATTCATTATTTTTCAACAATAAAGACAAAAAAACTTCAAAAAAATGTCTCTTAATTTGGTTAAATTCTCTATTTTCACGTTAGTTTTCCTTTTGGGAATTTTTTATTCTTTTGGAATGATGGGAGAACGTTCTAGGGAGTGCGATGAATTATTATGGGATGCGGGATTTAAAGGAATTGAAAAATTCCACAATATTTGTACAAATCCAACGGCAATAAAATCTGATATTCAAACACAACTTCTTGCTTGGGCAGCGGAATTCAATGTTTCTGTAAGTAAATAAATATTTTTATGTTAAAAAAAGTGTATAGGATATTTTTGAAGAAAATTATAAAGAAAAATTTTTTCAAATTTTTGGCAGAAATTTTGGTAGGGAAAATTGTGTAGGTGGGAATGAGAAGGGGTTGGGGTTGCCGAGCAATTAAAAGCATTGCCAGAAGAGCCGTGCCGAGTTTTGGGCATTTTATGACTCCGGCATAGGGGTTCAAATTCTTGACTCATCGTCAGATGAGCCAATTCGCTTTAATAAATTAAAAATTCTCTTTATAGACCAAATTCCAAACATGTTCAAATTGGCATCAAGAAGTTTTAACAAATATTACAAATTATGCCAACAACAATTTTAAAGGATCGTTGTTTGATTTGGTGAATAATTTAGTTGTAAGTTGTTTTAGCCAAAATTATTTAAGAATATTATTTTTCAAGACAATTTTGTCAGACAATACAAAAACTCGAGTTCATGAGTGTAATGCGACTTTTGCTTTACTCGAAGCAGCTTCACCAAGGCCAGAAAGTAACAAAACAATGCGACATGAACATATGAGTTGTATGCATCCTCCCCCATCTTCAAGTGTTTGTACTTTATATCCACAAGAATGTTATCATGGAAGAGTTCCTTTTCCGATAGATAATAATAGAGGAGGTGAAATGCATGATAATAGAGAAGGAGGAACGGAGCATGTAAACTTTCAGCATGTTCCTAAAAATGAAAATGAAGGAGGATATGGAAATAATAATAATCAATCATAAAGAATAAATAAAAGAAATAAATATTGTGAATATGTAATGATAATAATGTAATGTTAATAAAAATATATCTTCTTTAGATTCATTGACATTGATTTCAGTAAACATTTTTAAAGTCTCGAGTCATAATTGAATTTTTTTAATTAAAATATAAAATAATTAAAAAATTATTTTAAAATTATTAGCTTAATTCCAATTTTATAATTCTTTTTAAATTTTGAGATTTAAATTATGGGCATATTTTTGTATTAGCCAAAATCGAGAAGAAAGCTTCTGGCTCTCAAATTATTTTCATGTTGGCAATATCTAGTGGAATATTTACTTAAATCTCCGAATTTAGAATTCTTTTCTAAACATTGGAATTTAAATAAAGATCAGATCCTTTTGGCTCGGTTGAGCCAAAAGAAAAATTTTTTGTTTGCATTCTAATCTTGTGAAAATTATTTAAATAATTTTTCTCCCCTTTACCGCTCAATTATGGAGTTAGAGATTTCCAGCATGAAAAATAATTTAAAAGTCAAATCCACTACTCTCTCGATTTTTTACTCATTCGAAACCGTCACCGCTAAAAAGGAATTGTTAAAATGCAGTTATTCAAATATAAATATTTTTTAAAATAAATAAAATAAAAATTAAAAATATATTTAAATAATGAGAAGAAGTCTTCGAACAATTCACTTTTAATTAAATATTTTCTTTGTTTCATAGAAATATTCCTGCCCAGGGGAACGGGGACCCTACTTTTACATAAGAGAGCACAGGTTCCTGAGGAGAGACATATTCCCGGTTGACAGAAAATTGAATCACTATTACAAAGTAGAATTAACCAAAATCTAGAAGGGATTTAGGTGTTTTAAATTTCTTTCTTATTGGAATTAGAGTTTAGGCATAAATAATTTTTAAATAAAAAATGTAGATATTGCCTATTATTAAATTTATATTATTATTTATAATTCTTCAATAGATTTTATTTTAGAGCAATATTTTTTAAATATTATAAAATTTAAATTCCAACAAAAATGACTACTCCAATCAACATTTATATTATTCTCTTTTCATCCTTTTTAATATTTCATTCAATCAACGGTTGTATTCCCGTAGGACAACCATGCAATTCCAACGATGATTGTTGTCCTGTTAAAGGTGTTGATGTAACATGTCATGGCTCCTGGACACCTACAAAAACGAAAGGAAAGTGTAAGAAAAGTTGTGATGATAAAGGAGCAGCTTGTGACCCTGATGTTTGGTCTAATTGTTGCAACGGTTGTGATGAAAATCACAAAAAGTGTAAATAAAAAAATAAAAAGTAATTAACATTAAATTTTTCTCACTTTCTTTTTCTAAATTACATATAAATTGTATTTGGGATCTATTTTTAAATTATTCTTTAAAGCGAAAATACAAATAAAATTAAATTTCATACCCTCTCTCTTTTACTTTGTTTTGTGAACTTTATTTTTTCATTCTTTAAAATGATGGCTATGAAAATAAATTTTTAATAAAAATTTAATATATTTCAAATAGTGTTTAAACCAGGGCTCCGATTCGTACTTTATTTGAAAGTACAGTACTTTAAAATCGACCTCCGTACTTACGAAATTGAATTTGTACTTTATTGAAAGTATGTACTTTAAAATCAACATTTTGGATTGAAAATGAAATTGGGGAAGGGATTGGGCAAAAATGATTTTTTTTTGGCCTACGGCCTTCGAAATTCTCAAAATTTTCGCCTGCGGCGCTGAAAAAGGAAGAAATCTGGCTTCTTGGGCTCCAAATTTCAAAAAATTTTCACCTGCGGCGCTGAAAAAGTGAATTTTTTTTATCTACGGCCTTCCAAAATCCTAAAAATTTTCGCCTGCGGCGCTAAAAATGGGAGAAATCTGTCTTAAGGACCCCGAAATTTTCCAAAATTTTCGCCTGCGGCGCTGAAAATGGTCGAAAGAAAGTAACTTGCTTGAGGTTAAGACTGTCAGGGCTCTACTTCTTGTGACAGCGAATTTTGACATGTCATGCATCAAAATGCACAAAACGCTCAGTGGGAACAAGAAATTATTAGAAAAGATTCATTTGGGAGAGAAATATAAAAAATTTGAGCACGAATAAATATTTTTTAATTTAATTTGGAGTGTACTTTAAATTTGGAAATTTTGTCCCTATGTCCTTTAAAATCGAGATTTTTGTACTCTTGATTGGTATTTTGTCGATCGGAGCCCTGGTTTAAACGTTTCTGTACTATATACTACCGGAAATACAAGATCGGTAGTTCCGACACTACAGATACTGAAATTGTACCGAAAGTATCCTTTTTTTATTTATTTTGCTACCTAAACTTTTAATATGTATATATCTACTAAAAATTAATATATTTACATTCTGTTTAATAAACAAGATTAAGTAAAATAAAATACATATATATGCATATTTTATATTGAATAATCTACAGATTAATCAGAAATTTTTATTTTCTATTTTAGAGGCTTTTTCTTCTAATTTCGAATTTTGAGTATAAAAATAAAAGGAAAAAAGAGAATAATTTTAAATTAAAATGTAGACGTTCTGACTTTTCAAATTCTCGGTTACTTTTGGGGTTTGTTGGAAGGTGAAAGCAATTTTAAATAGCGCATTATTTTAGGCTAAATGAAAAAATAAGGCAAAAAATAATTTAAATATTTTAACTTATTTTTATTTTATTTATCAATTCAAAAAGGCATTTTATTAAAGTTTAATTAATTAATTTTTTTTCTTATTTAATTTTTTAATTTAAAAGAAAATAAAAAATATTTATGTTTAGTTTTATGTTTCCAAACATTTTAATTAAAAGGTTGTTACAGAAAAGCTAAAGTCTTTTGGGAATTTAATTAAAAACTTTTGTTTTTTGAAGGAAAGTAATAATGAATTTTATATTTAGTAATCATCCTTATTTTAACATTTTTTTTTCAGAAAAATAACCAAAAAATAACAACAATATATTTGTTGTATTCAGAGCTCTCTATTTACATAGATTTTCTGGTACTAAAGTGAACCTATCGTAACTAGAAGAGGTACACACACCAAAGTTGACCCCATTTAGTTACGATAGGTTCACTTTAATACTATAAAATCTATGGGTCCCAGAGTTATGGTGGCACGGTACCGGACCTTAGGTAAAACACATAACCGGACGGACACTTATCACCATATATGGGAGGTGCGTTTGTTCGCGTAATCTAGACACGAGCCAATGTTTTTTAACGATTTTAGAAAAAAATTAAATTTTCTTAAGATTCTTTTATGTATAGAATAAATGCACTCTTAAATGCACCACTCATTCTTAAATAATGCACTCTCGAAAAAATTCCCGAATATCGAGCCTATCTTTGTTCCTAAAATAATTATCTTTACATTAAATAATTCCCTATATTTAATTATTTAAATTAATTTATTTTGTAGAATTGCATTTTTAGCGAGATGTTTTGTTTTTCATTTACCTTAATTAAAATTTATCACTTAAAATGTACTTTAATACAATTTTATTTCAATTTTTTATATTGAGATATAAATTTAATTTAAATATATGTATGTAAATAACACTAGAAATTTAGGTAAAAAGTGCATAAAAATAAAATTTAAAAATATAGAAATTACAACACAACTAAATATAAATAAGAATTAAATGATAGACTAAAATAAAAAAATAATTCAAATTTTCTAAAACTGATTAGATTTGTGACTTACAATCTTAACTAATAAGCGTGAGTAGATAAGACTGAGATAGATACCGTCCTAAATTCTTACATAGACATCGGGATGTGCCCTGCCGTATTTTAAAAAGATGAAGCGCGAGTGATCCCACTCCTTGTAGAAACGTAATAATAATACCTTGTAACATATTTTAAGATTATATTTTAAGTTACAAGCCTCTCAAAATTATTAAATTATGTCTAAATCGGCCAATCGACTTCTCAATCATTTGACAAATTCAAGTATCGAGTCAGCACCAGATGGAGGCAGTATATTCGGGCACAGACCGATTCGAAGGCAAATGTCAAATGCTGTTTATATTTACAAACATCAACTTCCCAGTAATATTCTAAAAATAATTTCTTCCATTTTTTAAATTTTTTGTCGGTACAAGCTCCTCAGAAGACAATTGGTTAGCGAAAGAATTGGAAAATGTAACAGGAAACAAACTAAGACCCGTTGGTTCAATTATCCGTCGAAGTTCGAATTCCTCTCGAAGGCCGTGCAAAACTCCGTCAATAAGGCATTTAATATTTTTAACTTTAATATTTTAATTTATTTAGATCAGATTTACCTTCAAATCCCCCATCACCTCCTCTTGATCCTAGTACATTAAAACAACAACCTCTTTCAACAACTTCCCTCGCATATCCAACAAAATTTAGGGCATCCGTGCCTGCTATTTCAATTGAAAAAGACGAAAATCTGCTTGAAGGAGGGTCAGTTTATGGGTCTTTAACCTTTCTGATTTTAACAAAATTAGGCGTGAAGATGTAATTACCTTTGTGGACAACAAATCAACGACAGCAGCAACAGCTGATGAATTGATGCAAATGTTAATGGAGGATGATGGTACTGACCGACCTATCATTTTTACAGTTTTTGAGGCTGCTAATATAGATGGAGTGAGGCATTTGTCTTCAAAAAGTCGATGTACTCGGTTAGCATTTATGAAAATATTTTTAAAATTTGTGTGGCTTTTGGATGGCGGAGTGCTGTATAAGCGGTTTAGTTACCAGAATATCGTCACTGTCTCATTTTAAAATGCGGAAGCGGAAAGGTCAAAAAATGCCGAATTCTGCGAAAGCGTAATATAGCCGTCCCTTTTGGATACCCCATCTTTAAATGCGATTTCTTCAGCACTACCTTTGTCAGTTCATAACAAAAAATCCTGGAACAGGGCTGTCGCGACTATCTAGTCAGCGATAGGAAAGAAAAGTAAAGAACCAGGAAATGGGCAGCGGCTGGAAATAACAAAAACAGCAAAATTTGCAGCAGCCGATGGGTGGTTGGATGGCCGAACGGATTAGGCCGCAGTTTGGAGAGAAGGGGCCCTGGATCGAAGGACAGCAGTCCAACCCAATTTTTCACAGGTGGCGACCGTTTGAAGCTAGCGATAAAGTGAACCAGCAATCAACAGTCTTTCTTCGGTGGCAGGGCATCAACTGATGTGAAAAATAGCGTAAGGATACAATAGGCAACAGGAGGCGATGTGACTAATCTAGCCACTGTCTGCTCAGGGCTTGGACAACCTAGAAGAAAGCACCGCAGCAGCCAATATCAGATGACTACTATAGCCACTGTCTGCTCAGGGCTTGGACAACCTATGGGAAAGTGTGTGCGGAGGCAGCCGTTCTCCTATCTGTTCACCGAGCAGATTCTAAATGCTTCCTGTAGCAATTTAGACCGCTATGAATTAACAAATAAGGTTGAAAGCAGCAGCCAAAGAAAAACTTTAAAAGTTGGTGGGAGTGTCGCGACTATCTAGTCAGCGATAGGAAAGAAAAGTAAAGAACCAGGAAATGGGCAGCGGCTGGAAATAACAAAAACAGCAAAATTTGCAGCAGCCGATGGGTGGTTGGATGGCCGAACGGATTAGGCCGCAGTTTGGAGAGAAGGGGCCCTGGATCGAAGGACAGCAGTCCAACCCAATTTTTCACAGGGCATTGGAATTTGAAAAATCTGAAATTTAGTTTAAATTTTATTTTTAATTTTTTCTTTTTTCTTCATTCATTTTTTACTTTTTATTCAAAATTATTTAATTAAATCCACAAATTAAAAAAAGAATTATAAAAATGCAGTTATGCAAATAATTTGAATGAAAGTTTTTGAAGTTAAATGATTTATGAGCCAAACCCTCTTGGCTCAAGCCAAAAATTCCTGGCTCATCCAACAGCCTGATCATTACTTAAATCCCCACATCTAGTAAAGCATTCAAAATATCAGTTAAGCAAATAAAAAATTTTTAAATTTATTTAAATAATGGTAATAACCCTTCAAACAATTAATTTTAAATTAAATATTTTCTTATAAAAATTAAAATTAAATATTGCCTTTTTATAAAAATTGAATTAAAATCAAGATATCAATTTAAATTTATACATAAAATTTAAATTTAAAATCAAGAAAATCCAAATAACTATTATTTTAAATATTCTAACAAAAATGACAACTCCAATCAACATTTATATTATTCTCTTTTCAACTTTTTTATTATTTCAACTAATCAACGGCAATCAAAAGAAATGTACTTCTGGAATCGGAGGTAAATGCGATTACGACAACGATTGTTGTGGTGATAGAAATATAAGATGTGTTGGCGCCTGGGAACCTACAAAAAAGAAAGGAAAATGCCAAAAAACTTGTGATAAAGATGGGATAACTTGCAACCCTACTCCTAAAAATAAAGATGGTAATTGCTGCCACTATTGTGATAGTAAAATAACCAATAAATGTTCGTCCAAAGATACTTCTGATTAATTTTTAATAATTTTGTATCCTTTATTTTCTTTTCCAAATTACATTGTAGATTATTTTGGGATCTATTTATAAACTATCCTTAAAGAGAAGGTTTAAAATAGTACTAAAATAATCCTAGAATCATGGCTAAGTAAATAAATGTAAAGCTCTCCTTCAGCTTTTGCTTTAGCTGTAAGAGAAATAATTTGGCCCTATATGAAATTAGGTTGGGAATCGTTTTTTTTCATTACTTTTTTCTTTATTTTTTTCCTCCCCTGACATGACATAATGGTCAGCATTTTATTCCTTGTTCAATTACATTAAATTTGCCTGTGGCATAATCAAATGAGAGGCAGAAAAACACACACACTGACATACAAAACAAGGACGAACTCGGACTATCAGGAATGAATCCGTGTTCTGTCTGTCCGTGTTTTGTCTGTCCGAGTTCGTCCGTGTTTTGTCTGTCCGTGTCCGTCCTTGTTTTGTCTGTCAGTGTTTGTTCTTCTGTCCTCTCATTTGATTATGCCACAGGCAAATTTAATGGAATTGAACAAGGAAGAAAATGCTGACCATTATGTCATGCCAAGGGAGGAAAAAAGTAAAGAAAAAATGATTGAAAAAAAACGATTCCCAACCTAATTTCATATAGTGCCAATAATTTAGCTTTATACATTCTTTCTATTCAATAAATAAAAATTTATTTTTTATTTTAACTCTTTATTTTCGTGGTTTTTTTCTTTCGATTTGAATTTAAGAAATAAAAAAATAAAAAAAAGAAAAGTTTTCAAAAAAGGGAAAGTTCACTTTTCAAATTCCATGCAATTTCCCAGAATTTTATATTGTTTAACTTCCAAGGGGAATAATCAAATTTCGATTATTACGAAAACAATATCAGATCCAAATAGAGACCGGAGATAAAATCAAGTGAGATCGGTATTTAAAAGATATCCTTACAGTATGCTACTAAATTGAATGCCGGTAACTTAAACGCAGAATTGGAGTTTAATAATATGTATAGACAAAAAAATAATTGCAGAATACAACACTAGGGTTGTCGGTTGCAGGAAATTATCGGATATCCGAAACCAAACCGAACCAAAAAATCCTCGGTTCTTCGGTTCGGTTCGGTCCAGAACCGACAACCTTATGCCACACTCCCAGTTCGAAATAATTTTAATTGATTAAAATTAAACCCAAAAAATTATTAACGTAAATATTTTTTAAAATTTATTATTTATTTAATCATTCAAAAATTCTTTTCTTAGATTTTTACCTAGAATTTATTATTTATTTTGTAACATTTAAACGTTTTGTTTTCTTTTCTCTCTCAATATCAATTTCTTTCATACATTTTCTCATTTTCCAATAAATATGTAAACCTTCAATAATACCCAAAATTAAAAGAATTCCAGCAAAAATCTTTGAAAAAAATTATTATATTTTAAATCAAAATTGCCAACTTGTGTCATAATAAGCATTTCAAGCAATAAAGGTCGAAAATTCGTGCATCTCCAAGCAGCTTCCCAATTAAGTTCTGTTCTGACTTTAAACAAAAATACAATAAGCCAACCTAGAGCGCCAATCAGAATTATTAAAATTTCCAGAAACTTGAAAAATAAATTTTAGGGTACACCCCGATGTACCGCCGAGCTATATCTTTGTTCAAAATTGTCGAATCCGTGGCGCCCTAGTATGGTTCGATTCAGAATGTTGGAAATAATGTTAAATTACAATCAAAATATGTGTGATTTATTTTTCATGATTAATTCTTTATTTTTAAATTCTTTATTTTTAAATCCAAAAATGTCCTTTTTAAATATATTTTCTTATTCATACAATTTCTCAAACTTTATTTTTATTTAACATTCTTAATCATTTTTGTCATTTCCCTGTTTATATAAGCTCAGCTAATTCTGTTATTTCAGCTTCAGCTTCAATTCACTTTTAAAAATTCCCAAAATCCCCTTTAGCCTAATTGTAAAATTATTAAATTGAATAAATATTAATAAAGAAATATTCCTTTTTTGGATAAATTTAGAAGGGCTAGAAATAATTAAAAAGATATTGTTTCTAACATTTGGTGCCACTCGGTCTAATTGTTCAAACTGAGCTCATCGGAGCGTTCAATTTTTGAACGTGTTGGAATCGCACAACGTGTTTCTTCGCGCCCAAATCAACAACCAAAGACATCAATTCAAAGGAAAGTTTTATTAAATAGAAATCGGGTAGCTCAAAATTTATTAAATAGAAGTTTAAAGGTTGCTCGGCAAAAACCAAGCGAATTACAGCCGGCTCAAATACAACAAGCTGCTAATTCACAACCTTTAATTATTCAAATACAGCCTCAACCTGCTCCAAACGCTCAACAGCAAGGAAGCAGCGTGCAATTAAATAATAGACAAAATTACCAACAGCCCCGACGTTATTGGAGGCATTGGCAACAAAATCAGAGGCAACAGAACTACCGACGACCAAGAAATCAAAGAAATTTTCGTGGGCAGCATAGGAATTTTAGACAACACCGCAGAAACTACCGATTTGTGAGAGGCCAACAAACCTTCCGTGGTCAACAACAAGCTTATAGAGGTCACATTTACCGAGGTCCAAGGACATTTTACAGTAGGCAATCTTTCCAAAGGGGATATGTCAGGAGTAATACAAGAGGCAATCAATGGGCTGAAAGAGCGCCTCATCAGATACAATACAGCGGCTACAGACGCCGATTTTAGAATTGCTGCTGATTTAGGTATGGAAGAAAAAATTTTAACGGCCAAAAGAATGATAAAATATATAACTTTAACTAAAAAGAAAATTAGTAATTTATTAAATGATTTAGACGGCCAGACAGTCAATTATGTAAATCTTTTCCCTACTTTAGACAGAGAAGAAAAAATAGAGGAAAAGAATGAATATAAAAATTTCGCAAATGGGCCCGAGGGTTATCTAACTATTATGGAAGAAGCTCGGGAAATTATTGAGGCCCTAAATGAAAATGAGTATATTTTAGAAGAAATTTTAAATAATAATACAGGGCAGGCACAAAGTCAGGCAAATGAAATGAATGTCAAATTGCCAGAAATAAAACTGCCAGAATTTTCGGGGGATACTAAAAATTGGCAAAGTTTCTTCGAAGAATTTAAAGCGGCAGTAGATGAGCAGCCAATTCCTGATAAAAGGAAAATGCAGTATTTAAAAAGTGCCTTGAGAAATGAAGCCCTAGAAATTGTCGAGCCATATCCGTTGGAAGCGGGTAATTACAAGCTCGTTTTAGATCTCCTAAAAAATAGATTTGGGGATAAAATAACAATCAGAAGCAGCCTGCATTCTGAATTAAGAAAATTGCCCAGGGCGAACCAATTTGTGCCCGAAATTAGAAAAACTTTAAGAAAAATTGAGGCAATTATAAATCAGTTAAAATTAATGGGCGAAAATACTGAGCACCAACAGCTAATTTTAGAGGTGGAATCAAAAATGCCCAAAAAGATACTGACTGAAATATTTAAGAGAAAAAGAATAGACCCACTATGGTCTTTAGAAAAATTATTAAAATTTTTAGATGAATATTTAAAATTAGAAGAAGACGTGCACATGCTTCATAAAGATTTCGGTTCAGAATTAAATGAAAGGCCCTATCAGAAAAAAGAAAATAGAGAGCCTGAAAAATATAAAAATAGAGAGCCTGAAAAATATAATAATAGAGAACCCTATAAAAAATTCAAAGGAACAGCTATGTATGCGTTCCAAAAAGAGCATAAGCACGCATGTAAATTCTGTTCTCTCTCTCATTGGGAAGATAAATGTGAGAAATATAAAACTAAAGAGGAGAGAATAAAAAGAATAAAAGAGCTAAAAATTTGTTTTAAATGTTTAAGAAATAATCATCGCTCTATAGATTGTAAGGCCAATACATTTTGTTTTAATTGCAAGAAAAATGGCCATATTTCTGTTTTTTGTCATAATTTATATACAAAAGGGCAACAAAAACCAAGTCCCATAAAAAATTTTGAAAAATTTGGGAATGATTTCAATAAAAGAAAACAAATGTGTCTGGCCGTCAGGGAAAATTCTGATAATTCTGAAAACGAAAATGACATATTAATACAAAATTTTGCAAATAAAAAAGAAATTAAAGAAAACAATAATGAAAAGACACTTTTACAGGTCGCACAAGTAAAAATAAAAAATCCCACAAAGAAGAAGTTTTTAAATGTGGAAGCATTTTTCGATTCTGGATGCGAGATCACCCTCTTACATAATTCAACTGCGGTAAAACTTGGATTGAAACCCATTGGTCATAAAGAATTTAGAGGAATTGGACTTTTTAATAAAACAATAACTGTTAATGCGCCTATTTACATTATTGATTTAATTTGTTTAAATAATGAGAAAATAAATATGATTGTTAGAGGCACTAATGACATGGTCGAATTTTTAGAAAAAATTAAAATAAATAATAGAATTGACCAAATGTCCAAAATAAACATTGGGCAATTCGAAACGGTAAAACCCGAAATATTAATAGGTGCCGATTATTACGGATTAATTTTTGGAAATAAACAATTAAAATCTGGATTTTTAACTGTTGATACAAAAATTGGAAATATAATTTATGGAAAGGGAAAAATTTCAAAAGGCCCTGAAAATACAAAAATTTGTCAAATGGTAAATACAGACCTTTGGTGGGAATTAGAAGGTCTAGGCATTGATATAACAAAGGAAACTGAAGACGATAAATTTGCCATTGAACATTTTAAATCAAATATAAAAAGAGAAAACAATGGTAGATATATTGTTTCCTGGCCCATTAAAGAAAATCAAACTTTAGCGGACAATTTTTGGATTTCAATGAAGCGATTACAAGGGGTTTGGAATAAATTAAATAAAAATCCCGAAATTTTAGAAAAATATAACCAATTATTTGTTGAACAAGCTAAAAATTGTATTATCGAAAAATGTGAGAAAGAAAGTGAAATAGCCCATTATATACCCCACCATTGCGTCATAAATGAAGAAAAGAAGAAAGTAAGAATTGTGTTTGACGCTTCTTGCAGGACAAAGGATGGATTGAGTTTAAATAAAATAATTTTGAGGGGTCCAGTTTTATTGCCTGATATTTGTGGAATGCTTTTAAGACTTAGAACCTTTAAAAATTTGATTGCGGCTGACGTAAAGGGAGCATTCCACCAAATAGCAATCAATGAAACACAACGTGATTTAACACGATTTTTATGGATTAATGATATAAAGTCACCCCCAACATATGAAAATATTGTTAAATGGAGATTTGCCAGAATGCCCTTCGGGGTAATCGCAGCTCCATATTTGCTAGCAGCCGTAATTAATTACCACATTGAAAATTTAAATTCGCCACTGAGTAACGAATTAAAAAGGGGCATTTATGCGGATAATGTATTTCTTTGTGCCGAAAATGAAAAGGAGGCGAAACAAAAGTGCCAAAAAGTATCCAAAATATTTGAAGAGGCAAAAATGAATTTGCATGAAATTTGTAGTAATTTAACCGAAATAAATAAAACATTTGGAGATAAAGAGCAAAAGAACCCTATAAAACTTTTGGGTCTCAATTGGAATTTAGAAAAAGACACTCTTTTAATTGAACTGAAAGAAATAAAAGAAACAAAATGGACAAAAAGAAGTGTCTTAAAATCTTTAGCTAGCTCTTTTGACCCTCTTGGATTTTTAGTACCCGCTAATTTGCCCCGAAAATTATTCTTCCAAGGTTTGTGGAAGACAGATAAAACTTGGGATGAAGAAATTGAAAAGACGGAATGTGAGGATTGGAATAAAATTAAAGTAGATTATGGCAATTTCCAAATAAGGCGAATTTCAGTCAATAAAGAAAATCCAACTGAGTTACATATTTTTGTCGACGCTTCGGTTAAAGCTTACGCAGCGGTCGCTTATTTAAGACAATTTGATAAAAATGGGGTACAAACATCTATAATCATGTCTAAAGGAAAATTAGCCCCGATAAAAAATAAATTAACAATCCCCCGATTAGAATTAATGGCAAGCGTTGCTGGAAAAAGAATGTCAGATTTTATAATAAAAGAAATTGATATTAAATTTTCAAAAATATATATCTGGACGGATTCTAAATGTGTACTTTCATGGATTTTATTGTCAAACATTGATAAATTACCAAAATTTGTAAAAAATAGAATTAAAATTTTGAGAGAAAATAAAGAAATTGAATGGAAATACGTTCCCACAGAGAAAAATCCGTCAGATATTGCGTCACGTGGTTGCACTACAAATGAACTGAAAAATTATAAAGAATGGTGGAAGGGTCCGCAGTTTTTGAATGAGAGTGAAGAAAAGTGGCCCCAATCACCAGAGTTAAAAAGGAATGAAAAAGAGTGGAGTAAAGATTTGGAAGAAATAAAAATTGAAATGTTGACAAAGGATTTAATCAATACGGAATTGCGTAATGAATGGCCTAAACTTGTTAATATTTCTACCGCGTTTTGTAAAGCAATAAAAAATCTTGGAAGAAAAATTAAATTCAAAACAGAATTTGGGATAAATTTACAAAAAATTAAAAATAAAGTAGATTTAAGAAAAATGGGTGAAATTTTATTAATAATAGAAGCCCAGAATAAATACCCGCCAACTGAAAAAGAGATACAAGAATTAAAAATGAAAAAAGAAAATTATAATATATGGACTTGCCCAGGGCGTTTAGGGAACTTAAACACACCAACACCTATTTTTATTTCAAAAGAAGCCCCACTGGCAGAAAAAATTGCGTTAGAAGCCCATTTGCGCACATTACATAGTGGAATAAATCAAAGTTTAATTGAATTGAGACAGATGTTTTGGGTACCAAGCGGACGGCAATTAATAAAGAAAATAATAAATCGATGCTTACATTGCAAAAAAGCAAAATTATTGCCCTACTCGATTCCAAAAATGCCAGATCTCCCTAAAGAAAGAATTTTACGCTCAAAGCCGTTTCAAAACACAGGCTTGGATTATGCCGGCCCTTTTGAAGTAAAAAATAGTAGCGGTGAAATTGTAAAAGTCTGGATTGAAATATTTTCTTGTATGGCCACACGATTCACGCATTTGGAATTAATACCCAGTTTATCCGCAAAATCTTGTATTCAAGCCATGCGCAGGTTTATATCGGAATACGGTAAACCAAAATATTTTATTAGCGATAACGGCACGCAATATAAATTAACATGTAAAGTGATACAAGAAATTGAACAAAAAACAGAAAAAGAAAAAATACATTGGCAGTTTATCCCAAGCCTCAGCCCATGGTTTGGCGGCTTATATGAGGCTATGGTAAAAATTATGAAAAATTCTTTAAAGGCCGCTATAGGTAGAAAAATGCTGAACTATGAAGAGTTAAGAACAATACTTTCAGAGATAAAAACAATTATGAATAAAAGGCCACTAACTTATGTATATGAAAATTTTGACGACGCCTATACTGTGTTGCGTCCAATTGATCTTATTTTACCATCACGTAATGAAGAAAATATTGAGTTAGAAATTTCAGATGAAAAAGAATTTTTAGAAAAAGAAACCCAAAGAGAGATATTAATTAAAGAATGGGAAAATTCAAATCAAATGTTAAATCATTTCTGGCAAAAATGGGAAAAAGAGTATTTAAATAAGCTAAAGGAAAGGGCAGATAAACATAATCAGAAGTTGTACAAGAAAAATTATTTGCCCGAAATTGGTGAAATAGTGTTGATACAAAATAAACAGGTGCCAAAACAAGCCTGGAACTTGGGTAAAATTGTTGAATTAATTAAAAGTAAAGACGGGTTAATAAGAATTGCTAAAGTTCGGGTTAAAGGAAAAATCATTACCCGCGCAATTGCCTTATTATATCCCATGGAATTAAAAGCAGAAATGCCCGAAAAAATAATTGAGAGGGAAAAGGACAAGATTGAAAATAGTGAATTAAAAAATCAGAACCAGAAAACACACAAAATGGAATTGAGAGCTAAAAAGAAAATAAATTATAAAGAAATAGAAAGTGAATCAGAAGAAGAAAAGCAAAATATTGAGCAGGTAAGAATAGCAATGTTCAGACAAGAAATGAAATGTGCGATATGTGGCAGATCCGGACACCCCTCACAAAAATGTTGGTATAGAAGAAACGAATTTGTAAACCAAAATAATCAAAATTTAAATCAAAAGGAACCCCCTTCTTCATCGAAAGTAGAGACGGATTGGCAAGAGTCATATAAAAACCTAGAAGGGAAATATTTAACGCTAGAGGAAAAATTAAATAGCGTTGAAAATGATTTGTCAAAGGAAAAAATTGAAAAAGAAGCTATAGGTAAAGAATTGAAAAAACAAGAAAGAGAAATAATAGAAATTAAAAATTGTTTAAAAGAATTGACAGAGAAAGAAAAATCTAAAGAGGAATTGAGTAATGAGATAGAAAGACATAAAAATGATTTAATAAGAATTAGAACCGAATTTTGTACCCCTAAAAAAGAAAAGGAGGATAAAGGGTCTAATCAAAAATCAAAACAAACTAGCGTGTTAAAAGTTGTAGCAAAAAGTTCGGTAACGCTTCTCACAATGTTAATAATTTTTTTATTGACTTTCGGTCAAGTAGCTCAAGTTCAAAGTATTCGCTGCGCACAAAATGAAAATTTAGTTTTGAAACATTTAGAAGAGTGTAAATCGAACGGTTTGGTAATTTTTGAAAGAAAAGACAAGTCACTTTGTTGGAAAGAAATAGGCTGCAACGATAAGAATAAACACATACGTTGGCCAACAAAAAATATCAAGTACCTCTGTGATGAAAAATGCACGTGTCCCGATTGGGCAGAACAATGTATTTTCTTTAAAGGCCAAACGGAAGATAAAAATGAAAAAATAAAAGAAATATTGGAAAATAATAAGCCAAAAATTTGTTCTACTGAGGAAGATAAATCATGCGCAAAAACATTTGAAATGAAGGAATTTAACCAAATTGAATTGATTTCGGGAGAAAAATATTTGGTAAATGAATTAAAAATAGAATTGGAAGATGCAATAAAAGAATTTGTTTGTATTGGAAAAGGAAAGGAAATTACGGGTTCCCCAAGATATTGTAGTAAATACCATTGTTCCGAAAAGGGAACTAGATTTTGTTTTTACCCCAGAATTGAAAAAGCATTTTTTGTCACTCCGGAGGGAAGAGTAGCGATACAAGCATGGGGAAGAGTGAAAATAAAAGTTTATGGCTTTCCGAAAAAAGAAACGTCACTTTGTAAAGGGTGTGAATTAAAATGCACAAAAGAAGGAATACAAGTAAAAACAAATGAAATGATAGGTGGAATAGAGATTTGTAACGAAAAGAAATGTTTTTATAGAGCCCTCCCCGAAAAAATAGAAAACATAACTTTAAGCCATGAAATTGTTTTGGAAAAATACAAAACTGACGTTCAATTTTATAAAAATGGTGAATTAATAAAGAGAATGAAAATTGAGTGTGAAAAATTAAATATTTGTGAAATAATGAATTGTATCTTTTGTTTTGAACGTTTAATGAACCCGCATTGTTTCCCCGAAGTTTCCATGATATTGTTTGGGATTTTAGTTTACTTTTGTTCTAACTTAATATACATTGCTATTAAAACAATAATTTTGATTTTGAAAGTGACATTCTGGGTAATAAAACATAAAATAAAATTTATTCGATTCATCGCAAATAAAAGTAAAAGAGAAGAGGAAATTAAAAAGGAATCAAAGCCAAAACCAACTAAACCACTAATAACAAAGAAAAAACGTCCGATGAAAGTGATTGTTGCTTTATTGTTTTTAATCAATCTTTCTAAATGTTTTTGCCTCACTAGTTTACAAGCAACTGAAGAAAGTTGTGTTGTGAATAAACTCGGTGAAAGAAGCTGCTCGTTTGAAAAAATAATTGTTTTGACATTTAATCCCGAAGAGCAACAAATCCAAGTTTCTTTAAACGATCATACCGAAAAAATATTAGGGACTTTAACAATGGAAATTCATAAAACAAAGGCTTTTTGTACTAAAAGTTTAAAATATTTTTCCCGATTTTTCCACATGCAAGTTGAATCTTCAAAGAGATGCGCTGAAACAGGAAGCTGCTATGATTTAAAATGCAGCGAAATAAAATCTCATGAAAAATTAATTGAATTTAATGCCACGAATGATTACCCAGGAATAACACAATGTGTAGAAAGTAGCGGCGGTTGGTTCTCCGGATGTTTCTATACAACCCCGGCTTGTACTTTCTATAGATTTTATGCCACTCCTGTTGATGAAAGAATTTTGGAAATTTTTGAATGTCCTAAATGGGAGCTAGGACTAAGTATGAATTTAACTATTGATACAAACGAAGGAAAATGGGAAAGCGCCTTTAATCTAATCCCAGGAATGGCATCTAAACAAAGTAAAAATAAAATAGAAATAACGTTAAAAAGCATAACCACTCCCATTCTGCCTGTTTTAAATAAAAATTTTGTATTTGATGGAAAAAAGGCAGCCATGCTAGATTATGAAATTGAAACGCAATTGCAAAAATTTAAATGCGCAAATAAATACCAAGCAGGCAATTTCAATTGCACTGTAGATCCACTTACCTGTTCATGTCGACCAGCTGACGATAATGTAAATTGTCTTTGTACAGAAATTATTAAAGATGAACAAATTTTTCAAGAATCGAATAATCTCCCTTTCAATCATAACGGAATATTAGTAAAAGTCGATCATGGAGAAATAACAGCTTTTCCCGATTTAACCTCAGCAGAAGTTCAGATAAAAATTGAAGGAATGATTTTAAAGACTGAAATAAGCATGAATACTTGTATAGTCCGAGCAAATTTGACAGGATGTTTTGACTGTAAAAAAGGAGCTCATGTGGACTTAGAATGTAAAACAGACTTTGGATCGACTCTTGCAAACATAATTTGCCCGTCGGCAAAAATGGCAATACCGTGCCGACCGACTGTTGAAAGAAAGATTTTGAGTATTCATTTCTCCACGTCGGATATTGATGAGACGTGTGAAGTTTTTTGTGGCAGTTCACCAACAACATTTCAACTACAAGGCAAACTTGCCTATCCTGAAGCAGCACTGAATGATGTGATTTGGAACGAAGAATATGGAAACAAAACCGCACCACATTGGCACTTGAAACTACCAAATATGGACATTACCAACCTTTTAAAATTACTCATTTTCCCGCGCTACCTTTTCCTTTTAATAATTTCCATCTTTTTACTCATCTTAATGTTTTATTGTATTCTACCCTTACTAACCCGTCTTCTCCTTTCTTGTGTCCTTAATACTTTTGTCGCGCGGAGTGTTGGAAATAATGTTAAATTACAATCAAAATATGTGTGATTTATTTTTCATGATTAATTCTTTATTTTTAAATTCTTTATTTTTAAATCCAAAAATGTCCTTTTTAAATATATTTTCTTATTCATACAATTTCTCAAACTTTATTTTTATTTAACATTCTTAATCATTTTTGTCATTTCCCTGTTTATATAAGCTCAGCTAATTCTGTTATTTCAGCTTCAGCTTCAATTCACTTTTAAAAATTCCCAAAATCCCCTTTAGCCTAATTGTAAAATTATTAAATTGAATAAATATTAATAAAGAAATATTCCTTTTTTGGATAAATTTAGAAGGGCTAGAAATAATTAAAAAGATATTGTTTCTAACACAGAATGTCAAGACGCATGGAACCATACCAGGGCGCCACGGATTCGACAATTTTGGACAAAATTATAGCTCGGCGGTACATTGGGCTCGCGGTACACTGGCCTGCTCCCTAAATTTTAATTGTAGTATTAGTAAGAGAAACGATTTGGTAGGAACAAAGTTTCGACAACTTCTTTTCCTAAATCCTATCTCAAATAAATTTTACCAATTTTCCCCGTCTCTGTTCTAAATTGTCAACCTCCAAACAATTAAGCAAATAAACTTGAGAAAATAGCAACAATAAATGAGCAAAACCAACAGCTATTGTTGCAACAGAACGATTGGCTAAATTAATTAATGGGGAGGCTTGCCCAAATTTTTGATTTTCCAAATTATTTATTAGCTCCTCTTGTAGATTTATCTATAAAATATGTAGTAAAGGCACTCAACTCTTTCAAATATTTAAATATAATAATCTCGTATTTTTCTTAATTATCTCTGTATCATTCCAGAAAAGGACCGTTTCCGGAAAAGATCTGGTCTGTGTGTGGGGCTTAATCTGGTCTGTGATACGTGCAAAATCCAAAATTTAAATTCACGATTTATATTTTTTATTTGCCAATCTACCTTATAACAAAGAATTTCTTTTTGCTCTAAATGTTGTTTTTGTTTCGTTTCATTATCCAATACATTTAACCTAAAAATAATTTTTTATTCAAAATTTTATTTAACATACTCTTCATTATCTTGTACATTTCTATTTAAATCTGAAAAATATCGGCGTTCTTCATCTGGTAAAATAGCATTCTTTTGCATTTCTAGCCATGGGAGTCGTCTTTTCTCTTTAAAATAAAGAATTGGCTTTTTTGTTTTTTTGTTATCACGAATATTTCAGGAAGCTTTAGCTCCTAAAATATTTGGGAAGTTTTATCTGGATCTTATATAATTTAAAGCGAGTTTTTTATTAAGCCACATGAGAGATGCTTTATTTAATAGGACTCTGGTTTTGAGTAATCCAAAACGTTTTTTGGCATTTTTTTCGATTTTTGAGTTGTAGTATAATAAATACTTAGGTTTTGGTCAGTTCTACCTATCAGATAATCCCATATTTCATTGGAAGCTTTAGGAAATCTCCTAAAATATTTGGGAAATCTTATCTGGATCCTATATAATTTAAAGAGAGTTCTTTTAAAGAGAGTTCTTTACGTAAAGAACTCTCTTTAAATTATATAGGATCCAGATAAGATTTCCCAAATATTTTAGGAGATTTCCTAAAGATTTCCTAAAGATTTTTATTTCAATGAAATAAAAATCCTAAAAACCCCAAGCAAACCTCGTTTAATTCCTTCATTAACCTCTTTTAATTTCTCCTCTTTTTTATTTTCTTTTTTTAATTCAATTTCTAGCAATCTTGCAGAAGAATAAATTTCTTCTTTAATTTTTTCAGCAATTTTTTGTAATTGTTCTTTTTCTGGTTTTGGTGGCATAAACTTTTCTCCATCAAAACTCCACCATAAACGTAAATTTGGAGAAATATTCTTTTTTAAAGAATATTTTTTATTAATTTTTTAAAAATTAATTTTTACCGATAAAATATTCATTCGTTTCTCCTCTGGATTGGGTGGCAAATAGAAAAATAATTTTTGGCATGTTCCGTCTATTTCATAACGTATAACTGTCTTAATATATTCTGATAAATATTTATATTAAGTGTTATTTTGGCTTAAGGAACCAGGAATATTTAATTTATTTTCTTGTTAGTGTTTATTATCTTAGATATTTGATTAGTAGTCCAGAATATTTTATTTAAAACCATTGGATCCCAATTTTGAGCAAACTCTTGGGGCTACAAAAACACATGTTTTTGTTGCTTGGGGCTACAAAAACACATACTTATTATCGAATATATTCTAATAGAAGCCCATCCCCTATAATAGCCCCCTCAACGAGGCATTGGAAACAGGGCTGCACGCAATTGCGGATTGCAGCTTCGGAAAATTTGTTTTTAATTGCGTGCAACCCTGAAGAAAAACCCTGAGTTTCCTTTATCATATTTACGGTATCTCTACTTTCTCTTTTCAAGTCATTCTAAAATATTTAATTATAATTATTTTGTCTCAACTTCCGGTTATGTACATTTCTGTAAATCTAAATCGTCGAATTGCCTATTTAATTAGGTATTTAATTATTCCAATACCTTTGTGCTTACAAAATGCCCACAAATGGTACATTCACTAAATACCCTCCATAATAAGATTACAATAAGTAAGATTTGAGTAATCTTTAAAAGCAATAATAAAGCAAATCGCATAATTTAAAAAATTAATTTTTTTAAATTTAATTTTAAATAAATAAAAATTTGAAAGAATATTTAGTATTTTTTATTTATTTGAGGTTAATTACAAAGTAGCTTTTTTTATTTACTTTAAAGATTAACAATTTAAAATACCAGTAAATATTTAATGAAAACGAATTTTAATCTTTTATTTTTATTTAAATTATTTACTCTCCGATATTTGTGTAAGGGGAGAAAGATCCAATCTGTAAGAATTTTTTGCTAGTCAAGAATAAGGGGGGAAATACATGAACGTTATGAGCTTTAAGCTCTGTGCTCCTCAACTTCATGTAAAATTTCTTTAAGTTTATAATAACCAATTTTAAGATATACATGGTTTTTGTTGATTATTCTCTTTATATGCTTGTGTTTTTATCAAATTGGAGCGCAGGTTGGAATTTAATTACTAGTGATGGTCGGGATTCCCGGTCTCGGTTCCCGAGTCGGGAAATTTCCCGGGTTTTTTGAGCTCTCGGTCTCGGTCTCGGTCTCGGTGTTTTAGTCTCGGAAAACGAGACTAAATTTACACCCCTAATGACGGAAATTTTTTGAACTTTTTGAAGGAAAGGGGAAAGGAATATATTTATAATTTCTCCCATTTGCTTTTGATGGTCGATGGTTGAGTGGTTAAGTTGACCGACTTCACTCACTTAAATATTTCTTAAATGCTGGGTTCGAATCCTAAGGCGGAAATGACGTTGTTAAAATTTTTCTTTTCGGAAATAAACGTTTTTAAACTTTGATTTTGATTTTAAAAATTTAAATTTATTTTTTCCTAATATTTTAAACTTGAAAAAACATTAAAAATTTTAATTTAATCATGAATTTTTCAAAATTTCCTCCTGCGGCGCAGCGTTTTCGCCTCCGGCGGTAAAAAAAAGAAATCTGGCTATTGGCCACCCAAATTTTTCAAAATTTTCGCCTGCGGCACAAAAAATGGAAGAAATCTGACTTAAGGACCTCCAAAATTCTCAAAATTTTCGCCTGCGGCGCAGAAAATAAACGAAATAGGAGGATTTATGGCTTCAAAGCCTTGCAACGTTTGTTGTGTGGTTTGTTGTGTCACATGTCCCGTGGGACATGTGAGACTGAGAAAGGGATTAAAAAATATTAAGAGAGATATCTGAGGATTCTGAAGGATTCCTCCTAATCTCTTGGTCTCGACTCTCGGTCTCGACTCTCGGTCTCGACCCGGGACTCGGTCTCGGGGTCGATTCCCGGTCTCGGTCTCGACTCTCGACTCTCGGGTTTTTTTAACTCCCGACCATCACTATTAATTACACCTTTTTTTAAATTTCTATCCTAATAATATTTTAAATAAATTTTTAATTTAAAAAGGCAATGATGTACTGGTTAACACCTGTAGCCACAAATATAATAGCAGCATATCCAGAATCTATTGCTTTTCCAGTTGTAGCAATATGTAACAGTAATCAGCACAGAATTACTTGGATAACCGGTGATAATATACAAAAACGACAAGGAAAGAAAGCCCCATTGGATTCAAATAATTTTATTGAGAATTTAAATTATTCAGACATTTTTGACAAGGTAAGAAGGAATCGAATTTATATCAAGTTCAAAACAATTGCCCATTACCTCGGAATTAAATGTGCGAGATTTGAGACATTGTCTTCCAAAAGAAATGAGATAAACCTAATATAGAATTTAATAGAATGTATGTAGATAAATAATGCAGTGATACAAAACCAGAAATTAATAAAATGTAGTGTCACTGCAAATGTCGCCTCACATTTTTGCTTCTTACAGACACTGTTTGTTAGGGCATTATTTTCGTTTCATAACCTAGAGATCGAATTATTTTTAACGAATTTAAAGGCTCTTTTGCAAAGCTGGGACATGGATGCAGGCCATTTCCTACAAAATGCTGCCCATCAAAGAACTAGAATGATTGTAAGATGCGAGTTACCTAATGGTAGTAGATGTAATGCTCGAGATTTTCGACCGGTTTGGACATTAACTGGACTTTGTTGGGCTATAAATGTAGACTCGGAAAATCCAATACACGTATATAGATTTAAAATTAACAGTCTTCTATTTCAATTAAAAGGTAAACGGGGCTGGGCCAGGAAATGCACTTCGACTTCTTGTTAATATTGAGAGATATGAGAGGATTGAAAGGTGATTAGGAAGTATTCTCAGATAAAATTCAAAATTTTAAAAACTAAAGTTGCACACCAAAACTTCGTTCTCGTTTTTTGCCTGGTCTGAAGGTTCTTATCTATAATCAAACAGATGTACCCCCACATTATTTGGAGGGTGTAAATATTCCTGCTGGTTTTACAATGGATATTCCTTTTTGGATGAGACATGTTAGTATTATAAATATCTTTGGTACTCTGCGTTTATATACCCCCACGTCCGCAAATGTTTGTCCGCACTTTTTTCCTTCTCCTTCTTTCTCCTCTCACAAGGATGATAAATGGTCAAGCATCAATAAACCCCCATTTTCTTTGTCTTCTCCTTTACTCCTTTCATTTTGATTAAAATGGTCAAGTAAAAATAGAGGTCAAAGAATTTGGCACTCTTCACTTATATGCCCATTTTTCACCGTGTCGAAACAGAATAAGTATGGCGTCATTCGAAAGAGCTTGGAAAGCTTAGTCGAATAAGTGCAGGTATAAGTTGGTCCGGTACCTAGGAACCGAGATATAGAGCTCGAAAAGGTCAAAAACCATAGGTGGAGTAAGCTCAGTTTGGAGTGAAAAATACGAAATGCAAGTGATTGATAGCTCATTTGATTGAACTCGTCGAGCTGAGTCGAATAACACCAGAATCAGCTTTATTCGATGATTCTAAGCAAAATTGTGATCAACTGAATTTTCGCTGCAATAGCCTCCAAAATAATTTCTAAACATTGTTTTATTTTTAAATGACCATTTTAATCAAAATGAAAGGAGTAAAGAAAGAGAAGACAAAGAAAATGGGGGTTTATTGATGCTTGACCATTTATCATCCTTGTGAGAGGAGAAAGAAGGAGAAGGAAAAGGAAAAAAGTGCGGACAAACATTTGCGGACGTGGGGGTATATAAACGCAGAGTACCATATCTTTACTTAATTAAAATATTTTTAAGAGACAAAAATTGCCCGGAAGAGACTGTGTTGTTACCAAAATTTCCGAAAATGAGAAGAATGATGGGAATGGAAGTCAAAATAAAAACAGCGAAAGGGGATGTTTAATGCGTAGTTATTTGAGTGAAATTGAACGTCGGTGTAATTGCTCTATGAGAGAAGCTTATTTTCAAGAAAATGGTTAATATTAAAATTTATTGGTTAAAAATTGGTTTAAAAATTCAACCTATAATTCGGTAAAAATGTCAGAATAGGGAAAAGAAGGGATAGACAAGACTGAAAAAAATAGGTAAAAATGGATTTAGAACACCTTGACCATTAACATAAAATGAAAATCGTCGTATTTACCTTATGGAAAGTTAATGAAAAATTGAAAAAATATTGCTTAAATAAATCATAAAATCAAACACGAAGATGATCTCCCTAAAAAATTTTCACAATGTAATGTTCTACAATATTTTGAATGTGTTCAATCTGTTTTGGAATGGGCGCGAAATATGGGATTCAATAATTTTCAACATTGCCCTATTCCTTGTAAGAAAATAATTCAAAAATTAAAAATAAAATATTTGAAAGGCGAATCTGTTGATTACACTGCTTGGCAAGATATGAATGAATTACCTAGTAATATTTTTCCAAAATTGATATCCGATTGGAATGTTGATGAAGATGAAGAGGATAATGAAAATGAAGAAGAATCTATAGAGACAACAACAAATAATAATAGAAATTTATTTCAAAACAAAGAACAGAATAATGCGCAGACAATTGTGGATAGTGTTGAACGCGATAAAGAAAGAGTGATTATTTAATAAATTAAAATAATTTTTATTTTGTTTTAGGCACACTATCAATGCACACATAACAAGCTTCTAAGTACCTCACACGTTAGACGAATCAAAAATGAGGCACAAATGGCTTATGAGAAGCAGGCCCAATATCAAGAAGATATTCAACTTAGAACTAAACATTTAATTGAACAATTTAGAAAAAGTATTAGCAGGTATTGAAAGAATATTTCGAGGATCGGAAGTAAGAATAAAAATTATCTTTAAAGAATTGTTGAGATGCAGTGGGGATGGAAAAATGATTATTTCCTTGGAGCCAACAAACGATTAAAACAGATGGTTGGTTGCTATGCTGAAATTCCATTAATACATTCGGATGTATTCTCTGCTATTTTTAATCTCAAGGTGATACTGAGGAAAATTGGAAAAAATAAATTTTATTTTGGGATTAGTGCTATTTACAGTTCCTACCCTGATCTGGGGATTTTTTTAAAACAGATTTCTTCAAATTAGATTTTGTCTTTTCTGAGTTGCTACGGGGCCTTGTTCTGAGGAAAAATAATGAAAAAACATTTTAAATATTAAAATTTTATTTTTGAAATTAATTAAAAATTGTAGCCTCAGGGAGAGGAAGAACGGGCCAATCAAATGATACAACTGCTAAATGAATCTTTTATCAAAAATAATTTATCAAAACATTATCAAACAATAGGGGAAGTAAAAAGAGAATTTGGTATTAAAGCCGATGGAAAATATAAAGAAATAGAAATGATGGAAGAATTACTTAAAAATATTAAAAGGTCTCGTTTAATCTCGATATAATTCCCTTGAATATATCCACGTAAATTACCTAGATTATTTTCTGAAGAAACATTTACTGAACATTTACCTAACAGAATTGAAAGAATAATGAGTAAAATACTCAATTTTATGAGGCAATTCGAAGAAGGAAGTCTTCGACGCAAAGAATGGGCAGAGAGGATGAATACAAGAAATATGAGGTATTTATTGAAGTTAGTACATATAATTTTTATTTTCTATTTAATTCAAGGCATTTTTTTGATGAAGACTTTTATGAGGTAAATTAAGAAAGTTCTATAAAATGAAAAAATAATTTAAAGAATTGGTACAATTTAATTGTAAAGGACCTGGAAAATGGAATTATTGGCACAATCCAAAAAATTGAACAATTAATTCCGCAACTTTACTCAAATACAGTAAATGGCACAGCCATAATGGTGAGGGTTTATTGAATAATTGAAGAAATTTTGATATGAGAAATATTTGTTTATGTCGTCGTGTTTACGACAACGTCACACGATAGTTGACGATGAATAATTGTCTGTCGTGCTGAAGACAACATTGTCGTCGTCTTGACGTCGTGTTGATGACGACGTCAACAAGATATCATCGTGTTGATGAACGACGTTAGGAAGATATCGTCGTGTTGATGACGCGTTTTTTGCGACGACGACAAGAAGATGAGATGTCGTCGTGTTGATGACGACGACAAGAAGATGTCGTCGTGTTGATGACGACGTCAAGAAGATGTCGTCGTGTTGATGACGACGTCAAGAAGATGTCGTCGTGTTGATGACGACGACAAGATGTCGTCGTGTTGATGACGACGTCAAGAAGATGTCGTCGTGTTGATGACGACGTCAAGAAGATGTCGTCGTGTTGATGACGACGACAAGAAGATGTCGTCGTGTTGATGACGACGTCAAGAAGATGTCGTCGTGTTGATGACGACGTCAAGAAGATGTCGTCGTGTTGATGACGACGACAAGAAGATGTCGTCGTGTTGATGACGACGACAAGAAGATGTCGTCGTGTTGATGACGACGTCAAGAAGATGTCGTCGTGTTGATGACGACGTCAAGAAGATGTCGTCGTGTTGACGACGATGTCATGATGACATTGTTGTTGCTTCATATCCTTCCCACCCCTCTATTAAAATATAAACTTAAAAACATTTAAATTTTTGAAAAAACTAGGCTGGTTCTACAATACTTTTTGGCAATGCTAGTTCTAAAAATCAAGAAAGATTGGCAATGTTTATGGACGATTTGCTTGAATGTATATTTAATGACGTCAAAAATACGAGTGCTCAAATGCTTAGAGAATTTCAAGTTTTTAACCAAAAAAAATAAATTAAAATAAAAAATTTATTGAATCAAAGAGAGCAATGAATGATCTCCAATCATCCCAAACATTGCTTTTTCGGAAAGAATTGCCTGAATATTTGTCGAATTTTGAGTTTGGGACAAAATTTGTACAGTTAAGTTTATAAATAAAAATTGCAGAAGAATACCCTTTAAAATTCAAAAATTTAACAAAAAAAATTAAGTGAAAACTTTGCTCAAATAAATGTTTTTCTTCACAAAATGAATGTTGAACATTGGCGACAAGAGCCGACATATAGCATTTGGAGCTTTTTTTGTTAGTTTATACTTTTAGATTTTAATTTATGTATCTATTTTTAGGTGATATTGGAGCAACTATGAGTCTTTTCCTCGGAGCAAGTTTGTAGATAAATAAGATTGAATTTGGATGTAGTGTAAAGATGATTCACCCAGCAGCATTTAAAACGCTTAGGCGGGGGTTAAACGATCTAAAAAGGAAAAAGAGAAAGCATTAGACGATGCCCCGGTAGCTCAGAGGTAGAGCTCCTGAGTATAGCGAGCGAAAGCGGGAGGTCGCAGGTTCGAATCCTGCCCGGTGGCTAAACTTTTGCAAAACTCTTTCTGGTGCCGCTAACAGGGAACCCTACATGCTGCTGGGTGAACCAGCCGATCCACGGTCATGGCGCTTGACCGAGGGACCGGTCTGATGTAGGGATGGAGATGTAAGGATGATTCATCCAGCAGCATTTAAAACGCTTAGGCGGGGGTTAAACGATCTAAAAAGGAAAAAGAGAAAGCATTAGAAATCCAGAAGAAAATCTTTTTTTCGGAGCAAGTTTGTAGATAAATAAGATTGAATTTGGATGTAGTGCCCGACCTGTCAGTATAATGAGTGTAATATCCGGCATTATATCTAGGGTTGGGGGCCCGGTCTGGTCCGAAGGATTGAGTCGGACATCAAATTTTGGCCCGAAAAAGACCCGATCGGGCCGGTCCAATAAAAATAAGGCCAATAAATGACTCGAACCTCGGCCCGACTAGAAAACCTCAACCCTATTATACCCCATGAGCGCTACATCTAGAATCAATTCCTCCCCAATAGCAATTATTTTTAAAATAAATTATTTAGGCATGTTAACAATTATTGAAGTCTTATATTTTGTTTTGAGCAGTTCACGTATTTATAAGACAATAGAAGTTTGGAGACAACAAAAATTCACTGGAAATAATGAACAAATAAAAAAGACAAAAATGATAAATAAAAAGTAAAAATTAAAAAATGATTTTTAATTTACTAATTTACCTATGTTTTTACCCATATAACTACCTTAAGTTCTTATTTTTTTATTTTAGGTTGTTGAGTAAAAATCCAGAAGAAAATGTGTGAAGAAAATAAAAATTTTTGGAATTCTTATAAATTTTACACATATATTTTTTTCAGTGCTTAGAAATTTCAGAATAACACGTGAAAGGATGGTTACTCCTTTGTGTTCGAATAAATTAATTTTTTATTTGGTAAAAATAATAAAATTTGTATCTCAATTGGAAATAGAGAAATGAGATGGTTACCTAAGAGATGGCCTACGAGGGGACCTAACCATCTTCTTACTCTGGGCCCTGGTTGGGAGGTTAAATAAAATACTTGATTTCATAAAACATTTCGTATTTAAATTTTAATTTAACGAGTTCGTTAATCAATAGAAATTGAAAAAAATTTTAATTAAAAAATTTAAAAAAAAATAAAAAAATTTTTTATTTATTGTATTTTACAAATATTTTTTTATTTGATTAACTGCAATTTTATACGTAATTCTTTTCTAAACGTGATCCCACTAAAACTTAACATAAATCGAGAGGAGTTTTTAATCAAATTTTCATATTGGGATTAGAGGTTGGAAGGAACAGTCGAGCCTAGTCGGAAGAAACTAAAGCCAGATTGATTCGATGATGGCACGATCGTGGTTTTATGAGGTAATCCGGTTCGGGTTTATTCCGTTAGAAAAGTCAGCTAAAAAACTGAAGTCAGCTAAAGAGTTGAAGAATTATCAAATGTTTTAGAAACCATTGATCTTGGGCAAGATTTAGAAAATGGATATATAAGTGATTCATCGATTTTTGATTATTAAAGATTTTGTATGATTAATTTTAAATTTTGGTAAATTTGATTGATTAGTTTCTGGCCTATGAAAAATAGAATGGCCACCTCCGTTTGAATGGCCCTCTAATTGAATGGCCCTTTTTTAGGGGCATTGAAAAATAGAATGGCGGCCATATTACTAGAATAAATACGGTATCTTAAAAAGGATTATAAGTCACGTTGGATGAGCATAAAGAAAATTTTTTGTGTACATTCTAGGCCTATGGAAATTTAAGTTCTAGATTTTCATGAAATTAAAGGATTGTAGAAAAAAATATCTCTAGTTAAATTTTTTATTGAATTTTTTTAATCTTTACATCCACGAAAATGTTATCATTGAAGAGTTCCTTCTATGATGCATAATAATAGAGAAGGTGGACTTGTAGCATATTACTAATAAAGAAAACGATAATTATAGTCATAAGTATAATGAAAGAAAGAAATATTTTGAACATAGTAGTAATATTAATAAAAATATATATTTTCTTTAGATTCATTAACTTTAATTCCAAAAAACTTTTTTAAAGTCACAAGTCATATTTTTTTGATTAAAAAAATAAAAATTTTTATTTAAAATAAAAAATTATTTCTAAACTATTTGCTTAACTGCAATTTTTATAATTCTTTCTAAATTTGGAGATTTAATTTATTGCCAAATTTTTGTATTAGCCAAAATTTAGAAGAATGCTTTCGGCTCTAAATTTCTTTCATGTTGACTTTTAAAATGGCTTTTAATGTTGGCTTTTAATTTTTAATTTCGTGTTGGCTTTTAAAATCAACCGGGAATATTTACGTAAATCTCCGAATTTAGAAAAAGAATTTTTAAAAATTAAAAAATATTATTATAAAAATGCCCATCGAATTTAAATAAATTTTTCTGAATCTCTGACATTACAGAGTATTTCTAAATTATTTGCTCAACTGCAATTTTATAATTCTTTTCTAAACATTTGTATTTAAATATAGATTAGAGATAGAAAGAAAATTTTTTTTGTTTGGATTCTAATTTTATAAAAATATTTTTTTAATAATTTTCCTCCCTTTACCGCTCAATTATGGAGTTAGAGATTTTCAGAATGAAAAATAATTTAAAAGTCAAATCCATTACTCTCTCAATTCTTGACACATTTGAAACCGTCACCGTTAGAAAAGAATTATTAAAATGCAGTTAATCAAATAAAACTAATTTTAAAATAAATAAAATAAATAAAAATTAAAAATGCATTTAAATAATGATAAGAAACCTTCAAACAATTCATTTTTAATTGAATATTTTCTTTATTTCATAATTAAAATTATATATAAATTTTAATTCATAATTTAGATGGCAAATCAAAATAGGCTACTATGAGAGTTTAAGCTTAGTTATGGATTATATAGTAGGTGGTAAGTTTACAGCGAGCGAATTAAACTAAATCTAGGAGTTTGGGTGTTTTAAATTATTTTTCTTGTTGGGATTATAGATAGTTTAGGCGTAAATAATTTTTAAATAAAAGAAAGATGTATATTTTTTGATTAAATCTTTATGAATATTTCCTATTATTAAATCTATAATTTTTAATTTATATTTTTTAAACTTGATAGGGCCCTTAAAAATTGAAAAAAAAACTCTAAAAATTCAAACCTATTTTTAAAAATTGTCCCTAGTTTGTCACTATTTGAATTTTTTCAACCTACATATTTAAGCTTTTTTCGAACCTTTTAGTTACATATTATCAGGTTTTTGAATCTAAAAAACTCGCTCCGTTTATAATTCTTGAATAAAAGATTTTATTTTAGAGCAATATTTTTAAATAAATATTATAAAATTTAAATTCCAACAAAAATGACTCCTCCAATCAACATTTATATTATTCTCTTTTCAACTTTTTTAATATTTCAACTAATTAACGGCAATCAAGAGCAATGTATTGGAATTGGAGGTCCATGTGATTACGACAACGATTGTTGTGGTGATAGAAATATAGGATGTGTTGGCGCTTGGGAACCTACAAAAAAGAAAGGAATTTGTAAGAAAACTTGTGATTTAGTAGGAGCACATTGTACTTCAAGTACGAGTTGTTGCAACTATTGTACTAACAACAAATGTTCGTACGTCTCAGATATGCCTGGATGATTTAAATGTTTTTATTAATTTCATTTTCTTTCTAAATTACAATTAACTTGTATTTCGGGTCTAAATATCTCTCAACTATCCTTTAAATCGGAACTACAAATAAAATTTTATTACTAAATACCTGCTATGTACATAATATACCTATAATATTTATATAATTTATCCGTTCATTATTCATACTAAAAATAATAAAAATTAAAATATTTATTAAATGTCAGTGGTGATTTTTTTGGAGAATAAATTTAATAAACAAAATTTTTGGAAATTTATTTTTGTTATATGTTAGCGGCGCAAAAGTCGCAGAACCATTATATTTTTTAACCAGCCTTTTTGAAACCTAGGTGAAACAAGTTTGTTGTTCAATGAAATATCAGAGTGTTTAAATTTTATTATTTGAAGAAAATTTTAAAAGATTTTAAAAAAATATTAGGTAAAGTTGAACTTCGTTCCCCTCTCCTTTTCATTCCTAAAATGAGGTAAAAACATTACTCCATGGCTTTGAGTGCCACTTTCACTTATAACCAATACCAAGGTATATGTACCACACTTCTATTTATCCTATTCCAAAAAATTTCTATAGGGATTTAAAGCCCTAGTCATCTAGAGCTATTGTGCACACGCACAGTGCTGAACCATTGGTGCAAAAAAGTAGAAGGGGTACTTATATTCATAGAGTAATGTTTATACCTCATTTTAAGTCAACCATTTTTATATTTTGAGGAAAAAAGTATGGAGAATTAAGTGTTTAATTTTACCTTTTTAGTTTTACAAATATTTTTTTAATTATTTGATTATCTGCAATTTTATAATTCTCTTCTAAACGTGGGATTTAAGTAATGATTTCAAATAAACCTAAAAATAAATCGAGAAGAGTCTTTAAATAATTTTTCAAGTTTTTCTATTCTTTTGTTTTTTGATCAATTTTTTGGAATTGTTCTTTTTCTAGTTTTGTTTGCCAACATATAGCATTTGGAGCTTTTTCTGTCAGTTTTTATTTTTTGAGTTTAATTAATTTATCTATTTTTAGGTGATATTGGAGCAACTATGAGTATGATCAAGTTTGTAAATAAATAAAATTGACATTGGATGTACATATTTTTTTCCAGAATAGGGAGAAATTAGATGGTCACCTAAGAGATGGTCTTCGATGGTTTTTTACTCTAAGGGCCCTGGTTGGGAGGTTAGATAAAATACGTGATTTATTAAACATTTATTTCATATTAAAATTTAAATTAAACGAGTTTGTTAATCAATAGAAATTTAAAAAAAATTTTTTTATTTTACAAATATTTTTAATTATTTGATTAACTGCAATTTTATACGTAATTCTTTTCTAAACGTGATCCCACTAAAACTTAACATAAATCGAGAAGAGTTTTTAAATAAATTTTCATATTGGGATTTGAGGTCGGAGGGACAGTCGAGACTAGTCGGTAGAAACTAAAACCGGATTGATTCGACGATTTTGAACTAAATTACGACCAGTGAATCTTCGTTGGAAAAATTTTTATGCTGCTATGGAGGATAGGAAAAAGGCCTTTTTGGCACGATCGTGGTTTTATGGATTAATCTGGTATGGGTTTACTCCGTTAAAATCTCCGGCGGAATTTACCCAGATACGAGAAAAATAACAAACGAACACTTAAAAATTTTATCATAAAATTTAAAAAAGGCCATTGTCTTGCTTCACCTATTAAATTTGTGGCCCTAAGGAGGGCTGTTAGGGTTTGTTTTTGTTGTCGTTGCTCTGCTATGAGTTCACCAACTTCATTCCTTCGGAAACTGCGTGCTTGAAAATTGTCAGTCAGAAACTGAAGAAAGTCAGCTAAAGAACAATAAAAAATCTAAAATAATGCGGGTACACAAATGTCCCCCTTTAGGTGGGGACACAAACGGCCGTGCACAAAAGGTGGTACACAATGGTCATACAATGTCCACTAGGTTGAATGTAAATATTTTTGAATAAAATAATCTTAAAAAGGATTATAAGACACCTTGGATAAGTCTAAAGAAAATTTTTTGTGAACATTCTAGGCCTGTGGAAATTTAAGTTCTAGATCTTCATAAAATTAAAGATTATAGAAAAAAGTATCTTTGATTAAATACTATATTATAGAATTTTTTCAAACTTTACATCACAAAAATGTCATCATAGAAGAGTTCCTTTTATGATGCATAATAGTAGAGAAGGTGAAATGCATGATAATAAAGAAGGTGGAATTAGCTTGTAAACTTTCAGCATATTCTTAATAAAGAAAATGATAATTAGGTATAATCATAAGTAGGGGGCGGATTTTTATTGAAATAAATTCGCCGAATATGGCCATAAAATATTGAAATAAACTGCCAAAATATTGACAAAAACTGCAAAAAATTAGTAAAATATTGAAATAAATTATGGCTTATTCGCTAGTAAAAATCAAAAAATGTTGAATTTTAGAAAAAAATTAATCCCGTCTTCAACCCAGACTTCGATAAATTGACTCTTGCGCACTTTTAGATGGGCCAAATTAGGGGATGGAACATTTTGGTGATTTTTTTCAGTGGGACATTTTGTGGGGTTTGGTTTAGGAGGAAAATTTCGGGTTTTTTGTTCTGAGAGACATTCTGTGGGATTTTGTTCAGCGGCCATTTTGGGGGTTCCCTCTTCAATATAGTCTGAGCGATAGTTGTTTTGGCGATTTTTTGGAAGATTTTGCAAGAATAAGCCAAAATTTGTGCTTTTCAGCGCCGCAGGCAAAATTTTTTAGAATTTTGGAAGGTCATGAAACCAAATTTTTTCACTTTTTTCCTAGAATTTATGAAAAATACCAAAATTTTGGTAAAAATATGCAAAAATATTGAAATAATTTGAAAAAAGTGAGAAATATTGAAATAACGGGAAAATTGGCAAAATATTGAAATAAATTGAAATGTAACTTTGTTCAAAATCATAATATCGAAAAACTAATGGCATATTTGGGCTTCTCTCTACAAAGTGTATTTGGAAAAAAACATTTTATTTCAATAAAATCCGCCCCCTAATCATAAGTAATGAAAGAAATAAATATTTTGAATATAGTAATATTAATAAAAAAATATTTTTTTAATTCATTGACAGAAAACTTTTTTAAAGTCACAAGTCATGGATATTTTTTAGATTAAAAAAAATAAAATTTTTATTTAAAAAATTATTTTTAAACTATTTGCTTAACTGCAATTTTATAATTCTTTTTAAATTTGGAGATTTAATTTATCGTCAGATTTTTTAGGAGCAAAAATCGGGAAGAAGGCTCTCGGCTCTTAAATTATTTTCATGTTGGCAATCTTTTGCTTTTAAAATCGATGGGAATATTTACTTGAATCTCCAAATTGAAAATATTTTTCAAATAATTTTCCTCCCATTTACCGCTCAATTATGGAGTTAGAGATTTCCAGCATAAAAAATAATTTAAAAGTCAAATCCATTACTCTCTCAATTCTTGACTCATTTGAAACCGTCACCGTTAGAAAAGAATTGTTAAAATGCAGTTAATCAAATATAAATATATTTAAAATAAATAAAATAAATAAAAATTAAAAATGCATTTAAATAATGGTAAGAACGCTTCAAACAATTCATTTTTAATTAAATATTTTCTTTATTCCATAATTAAAATTAAATTACAATTTTAATTCATAATTTAAATTGTAAATCAAAAGGCTCTAAGCAGGGGTTGAATTACGCATATGTTGAGGAAATATGGAATTAATGATTTAGATTTTTGTTTAAATTTTTGATGACTATTGCCTATTATTAAATTTATAATTTTATTTTAGAATAATATTTTTAAATTAATATTCTAAAATTCTATCAAGAATGCCCACTCCAATCAACATTTATATTTTCCTCTTTTCCACCTCTTTAATATTTCAACTAATTAACGGCAATCAAGAACAATGTATCGGAATCGGAGGTCCATGTGATTACGACAACGATTGTTGTGGTGATAGAAATATAAATTGTGTTGGCGCTAAGGAACATCCAAAAAAGGAAGGAATATGTAAGAAAACTTGTGATTTAGTAGGAACACCTTGTAAACCTGCTCCTCATAATCCCGATGGTAATTGCTGCAATTATTGTGATAGTAAATATACCAACAAATGTTCGTACAAAGATACTTCTGAAGATTAATATCGTAATTTTGTATCCTTTTTTTCTAAATTAAAATTAAATTGTATTTCGGGTCTACATATTAACCTAACTATCCTTTAAATCGGAGCTACAAATATGTAATATGTTATTACTAAATACATAACAAGGATCATGCCGACCAGATTCTCAAAAATCAGAAATTCCCGATTTTCAAAATTTGTAATCCATTTTTTACGTCGGCATGATACCTGGTACATAATAAATATATAATATTTATATAATTTATCCATTAATTAATCATACATACTAAAAATTAGATAAATTTATTTATTAAATGTCAGTGGTGATTTGTTTGGAAAAAATTTAATAAATAAAAAAATGTTTGGAAATTTAATTTTGTTTTATATTTTATTTTTTTTTAACCAGCTAGTTTGAAACTTTTGAGAAACAAGATTGTTGTTCAATGAAATATCAGAGCGTTTAAATTTTTTATTTGAAGAAAATTTCCATTTAAAAATTAATTTTTAAAATTATTTGATTAACTGCAAATATATAATTCTTTTTTAAATGCGGGATTTAAGTAAAGATCAGGCTTTTAAATTAATCTAAAAATGGGTATAAATCGAGAAGAGTTTTTAAGTAATTTTTCATGTTTTTCTATTCGTCTTTCATTTTTTAATCAATTTTTTGGAATTGTTCTTTTCTAGTTTTGGTGGCACACTATTTTCCCTTCAAAACACCATAAACGTAAATCTGTAGATAAATTTGCAAGATTGTCAAAAATAATTTTTAAGTTCGCTTTCGACGTTTTTTTTAATTTTATTTAAATTTTTGCTTTTTTAAACATCGTGTTTGCATTTCATACCTCGTGTTTTTTGTATGAATA